CAAATAGCAATTGTTACAATATTGTTGATTAACCATTGTTACAGAACAAAATAAGAAAATCGATGCTTTGGGAAACATTCATTGGTAGTGAGTAGTGACTACTGAGTTCGATACAAAAGACGGCGGACTTCTGGTAACACCAACAAAGTAACAATCGTGACTGCTTGTACAGTGATTTTTTTGGAAGAAGACGTCAAAACGCATCATTAGGATTAAGAAGAATGACCGGGCCCGTTGATTCAATGGTGTAATATATAGGACTACCAACCGTCCCGAAATGGCCGGGACAGTCCCGGAATTGACGTCTAGCGTCCCGTGTACCGGGCTGGGCAACGGTTGTCCTGGAATTTAACTACAACCATGGCGTTCTAAAATGGAAGGCCATTGTAAGCGTGTCGGCTTCGTTTAAAACTGGAAACGGATGTAATTCACGCAAATATATTTTTTAATAAAAACGATTACATCTGTATGGTTCATTCAAATAGAAGTGAGTTAAAATTTGTAGATAAGACATGTTTGGTAAACGATAACCTACTGATGACATAACACCAAAACGAGAATATCGGCCGGGGACCGAAGACTTATCGATCTAAACTGCGGTTTCGATTCGTGACTCTATAGTGACACCGCGTGTCCAATCACTAGTTAATCAATAACTCGCTAATTATACGACATAATTTGGAGCATATTCAACCTTGCCTTCGTGAGATATCGCGTTCATCTAACAGACAAACGAACAGACATACAGACAGAGAGACAAATACCTATTAACATACTTACCGATCTTAAGATCGATAAGTAATAGTTTGAACAATTGCAAAATGGGTGATAACATTATATACAGCAATCACTTCAATTTGAGGGGATCAAAAACTTGATCCAGTGAGATTTATTGAAAAATTTAGTCAATAAAGTTGCGCGTGTAACAATATTTTTGTTTCTTGTTTTTAGTTAATAATGCACTGTTAGTGTGAGGCTATTTTATGAGCAGAATTTTATTATTCAGTCAGTTTTCAGGCTCGCATAGTCGTTTGTTTTTGGACGACTTGTTGACATCTCTTGTCTTAGCGAGAGTTCATTAATTAATCATATTTCGTAAGGATTACTAGTTTTAACATAAACTTTATGAAAACTAACAAAAATCTTTTTTAAGCTGCAAAATAACAATAAAAATACAAATTCAAATACCAGAAAGACTGATTTCTTGTGTTTTTTGTTAAATAATCAAATCTACTTAGCATAAATTGTACATTTCCCTGACATTAGACATTAAGGTGTCCCGGAATGGTTTAACACAAAGTTGGCAACCCCAGTAATATATCCCTACGTGCTTAAGGCTTGGGCTTATTTGAAGTGGAGAAGCCAAAACCTTGAAAAAAATAAATACAGTTTGAATTCCGTGCGTAGCTGTGATTGCTTGTACAAAGCCTTTTACGGGGCGAAAGCGCGAAATACCAAAGATAAGGCATTTTACTTGCATATGCTACCAAACCTAAATATAGAGAGAGGAAGTGAGCTATGGCTGCGTCATAAAGATCCATTGTAAGGTCATATACCAAAAGCACTGCTTTAGTCATGTATTTAGTTTGTGCCATAGTTGAGTGTGCACTAATGTCGCATACATGGGATCTCCAAGTCACCATAGTTTATAGCATTATACAACGACGCATTGATATTATTGAGTTATATCGACAGAACAGGTATACAGTATGTGGAAAGGGACGCGATATAGTTTTATGATTTAATAGCCTTGTAATATACAACGATTTTGGAAATTATTCTAAGTGCAGACCAACTGAATTTGAGTATCTGACTTTCCATACCGACAATTTTGCTTTTTTGTATTCGAAAATGCATTTGCGGAAAGATACAAAGGCTTCTCAAAAGTAGTGGCTAGTACATTTGGTGCGTAGACATCACAATTGGTATTTTTCGTGTAACAGTTAAGTACAGTTAATATAGTTTATCCACATTTGATAGTATTATCAATATCGCATACCGTATATGGAAATTAATTCTGAGTTGCCATAGTTTTGAGCATTATACAACGAGTTGTCGATATTGAGTTATATCGTCCGAAGAGGTATATGCGAAACGAGAGGCGTTGTAGTTCGACGCGATTTAGAATTTAATGGCCATGTCATAAAGATTTTGAAAATTAGTCTAGGTGCAATCTTTTTAGGCGGCCAACTGAATTTGAGTATTGTGATCACACATCTTGATAAAACGATATTATAGCTTTACAAAAGCGCGTTTACGAAAAGATATAAAGATGTTCTAAAAGTAGGTCGTTATATTTTATGGTTCTGAAGTATAAGGCATCGAATAGCGAGTGGTTGATACCAGGGTTATGTACACTAAGCATGCATGGACCAATGAAACGCTAAAGTTTATTTAACGTTGTGAAGTTTATCTACACAGATTTTTGAAGCGACGCCTATATTATTTTGTATCCTTTGGTGATTAGTGTGGGCCAATTTTTGCCCTCTTCCGAAGACTAACAACTATCGTGGCTCCTGGTCGTATAATCATTTTTAAATATCAGACTACGCGAAGGAAGTATCCGAGCGGCTCCACAAATAGCAATTGTTACATTATTGTTGATTAACCATTGTTACAGAACAAAATAAGAAAATCGATGCTTTGGGAAACATCCATTGGTAGTCAGTAGTGATTACTGAATTCGATACAAAAGATTTTGGTAACACCAACATAGCAACAGTCGCGACAGCTTGTAGAGTGATTTTTCTGGAATGAGGACGCAAAACGCAACGTAAAATTAGAATTAGTACGCTGAGCGGGCCCGTGCTTGGTCTTTTTTGAAGTGGAGAAGCCAAAAATCTTGCCTAAAATAAAGTCAGTTTGAACTCCGTGCGTAGCTGTGGTTGCTCGTACAAAGCCTTTTACAGGGAGAAATCAAAAAATATTTCCACCCGCATATAATATCAAACCTGAAAGTAAATATTGAATGTCAAAATTACTTGGAATTTTGCTTTATTGTATCTGAACATGCATTTATGGAAAGATATAAGGACGTCCCAAAAGTAGTTGCTAAAAGATTTGGTGCGTAGCCATCCTAAATTATTGTTATTTGTTTTTTAGAGAGGGGAGGGGCATATTATTGTGTGGCATCGTCTAAGACAGGGGTCGGAAACCTTTTGTCGCCCGCGAGTCAAAATTAAAGGTTGCAAGTCATTGGCAAGCCGCGCATATTTTTAGAAAGTTGAAAACCGAACGGATGATACTGTTTATAATAAAAATAAAGCAATGATATTTATCTCGAATAAAATATAGATTTATTTTCTCTCAATAAAATCCAGTTGAATATTATCGGCGCCATTGAACCTTTTACATTTAGCATCAACTTTTCTGAGTGCTGTTGCCATTTGTCTAATTATAATTAAATTATAGGCTCATTTAACGAGTAATTGTGAATTATATACTTGTTAGGTTATAATATAATTTAGTCTACACGTGTCTCACAATAAATTTTGTTACGTAAAAAATATAATCGTCAAAATCTTATTGAGTTATATCGTCAGAACAGGTATATGTGGAAAAGAGGTGTTATAGTCAGACGCGTTTTATGATTTAATGGCCATGTAATATATAAAAATTTTGAGAATTAGTGGAGAATTTTAAAACTTAGTTTAGGTGCAATCTTTTTAGGCGGCCAACTGAATTTGAGTGATAACGCATCTGGCTTTTTTTATTGCATTTATTACAACATGCATTTACTGAAAGATATATTGACGTCCTAAACGCTAAAGATGTGCGTAGCCATACCAATTCGGGTATCTCCGAAGAAACTCGCGGAGGGCAATTTGAGAAAAAGTGCTCTATGCATACCTGACGTTTTACACGCGCCCGTTACTTTTTTACGATATCACGAATCTTATATTCTTGATTAACATCTCTTTATTCCATTCCAGAAATAGAATCTAAGTGGATAAAACTTGAACGAAGGTTGTTGATGACTGACTTGATCAAGAAATATAAAATGCCCAATTTCATTTTCCAACTATTACTGATAGCATGTAAGTACAGCGTAGAGCAGTGGTTCTCAAAGCCTTTTTAAAATTTGTCTAGTCTCGTGCCCCACCTCAAAAATGACTAGCTGACAATAAGCTATAACAGATAGTAAGGCGAACGTATATTTTATTCAGCAAATACGTAGAAGGAATCTCTAAACAATAAAGAAATGTAAATATCCAAAATAAGGCGGACAAGATCCAATCTAACAAATATTTTTTTCAAGCTTCACGCCCCTGGAGTAAACCAAACAAATTTTATTTCCTGAAATCACATATAATTTACCTGCAACGTTGAATCTTACAAAAAATATGTAAAACTAGATACTTCCCGAGTCAGAATGATATCAAATATTGTTTCGTCCTAACTCTACAACCTGATAAAACTCTAGCATGTTTTATCTCCAGACATGAATATGGAAATAATAATGAAAACATTTTTGCAGGCGTCGTTTGCCCCAATCTTTGCGTGAGATGTTGGCCAGATGAAGAGATTGTGAAACGCACTAGTCGGTCCATACAATCCCCCAATTATCCGGACGAATATGGACATAAAAGTTTTTGCAAATGGGATTTTGCGCAACATATCAACTATTCGCTAGTTTTGAAATTTGTTGGGTTGCGTCTCTACTTCGCTAGACGGAACTTTACCGCTAAAGGTAACGCAACAAGATATTGTCCGCATGCTTACAACTTGACCATCAATGGAGGTAAGAAAAATATTAACAACTAATAATCCCTTGAATATGTTTTGCAACCGAAATTATGATTTTGTTCGATACGGCAAAATTTATATCCGACTCTAAACTTCGAATAATTTTGAAAAAATGACTACGCGTCAATGATGAGACAATTTTCTACAACTCTGAAACTCAACTCTCAACTCTGAAAAAGCCAATTTTCTACAACAAAAATTTTGGCATATCTAAGCCTAAGGATGTTTAATTGGAGATATATTACTAATGAGCAATGAGTTATTGCAGCATTCATACTCTGTTTTCAGAAGCTATAGACTGCACGAGATTGGTTTCCAACAATACAAAGACGTTTTGCAAAGCATATTATAAAGATAAACTGTGCAGCAACCAGCAATGGACACAGCAATGCGAGAGTAACGATCTGATACAAGAAGATAGGACTACGGTCCAGTACAGCGCGAGTGGCTTGAAAAGCGATAAAAAAATTGGACCAGTTTTTGGCTTTAAAATCGAATATCGATACATTAGGTGCAAGCCAGGTAATTGCTTTGAATATTAGCTATGTAACGTTATTTATCGCCAAATTGTATACGTATCGGATGTTGGATGCGTACTTTGCGGTTGCACGTGAAGTAATATTACAAATGGCAGCGGTATAGTAAAAGGAAGTTCACACGATTACGATGTCATATTACAATACGTGACGTCAGAATACGAAATATAACGCATTTACACGGCTCTCAGTGACGTCATATAAGGTTAGAAATGATGTCATATCAAGGCACACGGTCATACTATAGAACAGGGGTGGCCAACACGTCGATCGCCACGTCTCGAATAGTCGATCGCGTCGGAAGTTGGGTGAATTTAATAACATACCCCCAAAAATATTCCGTAAACCAGTTTCATGCATCGCGTGTTGTGTGTTTAAAACGGGAAGAATACAGTAGCCTAACTGTGCATGCGCAAAATACAATATACACACATAGTATTCGAGTCAGGGCAAGCCGATAGAACCTATTATTACGTAACAAATGCAAATTTCGCCGCTGCCAAGGTTTAAAAATAAACTTGCCGAATATTGAGTGAATTGACTGACAAACGACCCTACAATAATTGCTGGTTATTGTCTCACTGCATGAGCAGTATGAAAAATTTTATTCGTAATGGTAGCAGTGGCATCAGGAATGCCCAATTTTTTCTAAATCCAAGCGAGCGAAGACTCGCGCTTGGAGGAAATTGTAAATTAGATACTGAATTTTGAGTAGTCAGGTAACATTTATGGGTTGAGAATATTTGTTTTTCGCATTAAGATAATACACGGATACTTGGCAGACTTTTGGCGGAAATTTTCAACACTTACGACCAAAAATAAGGCAGGCCTTATATCTGAGTTGTAGGATTTGAATAAATCCTAAATAAATATTGAAACATTCACTTCGGGTACAATTAAATATTCAAATTACCAACTTAAATCGAACATAAAAAATACAAGTTTTGTGTCGATTTCCTTAAAAGATTGCCCACAAAGCTGAGATTGTTGGCAGCGGTGGAATATCTTGTATGCTTGTTTGCAGTTATCTGCTTATTCAGTAACCATTTGTTTTCATGTCGATCGCAAACTATTCTGAAGATTTTAGTCGATCGAGGCCGAAATCAAGTTGGCCACCCCTGCCATAGAAAATACGTAAGCACGCGGGATATTGAAAGTCAAATTTTTTATACTTGCTGACATCATCACGGGAATAACCAACAAAAGACCCCCCTGAATTAAAACCCTAATATGGGGTCATTTTAGTGACTATGACGTAACTTTTGTTCATTTTTTGAATTAACCCCGCTATCAATATGATACTAAACACACATTTAAATACCAATAAATAAATATTTACAGAGATTGTTGCCGAGACCACTGACAGCCAAACAACTTCTTCAATGAGCGTTGAGACTACAAGCAACAAACGACTTCAATCTACTTTTCTACCTAGTTTAGGCGGAATCTTCTCTACTATAAGAAGTAAGCATCTTTAATCTGAATAAGGCTTTGGAGAGACGACACAAATATGTAGAAAGCTTCAGTTTTTGGTAGACTTGGAAGTTTTCTAATTTCCAGGAGTTTTTCAGAAGTGTTTACAAACCGAACAGGTCCCTAGACAATAAGCGACTGATATGCAACAAGATATATTTTTGGAAGGGTTGGATCTTTCCGATTTGGCACTGGCTCCCAAATTTATTACACACTGCGCTGGTGCGCTCAATTAGTCGAAATTCAAACATTTTCCATAAATAGTAAACTACTTTTATAAGGCCTAATTAAAGTTTATAAAAACACGTGCCGGTGTAGCGGTTGACCAATTGTTTCAAATACGCTAGTCATCGAATCGTTCATCATCGCACATGGTGGGTTAGCAAGTTTAAATCTGCATCTGAAACAAATAACTGCTTAAGAATTGTCTATAACCGACATGGGTTGGGGAACAGACTAGAAATTGGGTTTGCCTTCTGAATAACCGTTTTATCAACTTTCCTCTCTTGCGAAGTAAACACTGAAAAAAAAAATTGAAACAAATTACTGGTTGAAAATTCTCTATATTTGACACGGCCTAGTAAACAAACGAGAGATGGGATTTGTCTTATGGCCAAACCGTCTTATCAGCTTTAACAATATGTAAATGAATAAACATTAGAATACATGAAAGTTCGATATACAGTACTACGTTCCTTTTTGTATTATGTCGTCACATTTATATAATAGATTCATATTCTTTTTATGACGTCACGATTTTGTACCCGATATGGACTGGTAGCCGAACTACAAATGGATTTGCCTCATGACTAAACCGTTTTTTCAGCTCTCCTCTAGCAAAATAAATACACAAAAAAATCCTATTTTAACATGCTTTTGTCTCTCGCAGACGAACCTGAAGAAACAACTATTTTGTATATCACCGATGTAGCCAATGACAACTCATCAATGTTGGTCAACGTTCTCGTCCCAATAAGTATTGTCCTTTTACTGGTCGCACTGGCAATTCTAATTGTTGTTCTAAAAAGGTTGGTATATAATCTTAGAACTTACTTTTATTGGGAATTTTTTATTTGAGGTCGAGTTGCGGTTTCTATAAAATATACCGTGCTCTGTAAAGCATTTCCTGATACTCCACTCAACATAAGATCCCACACACCCACTCAGAAGTAAAAGAGTCTTGTCGCTGAGCACGCGGCTTAAGGTCGGAAAGAAACCATGGCCTAATGGTTAAAGTCATAGACTTTATGTGTATTGACACTGTAGGTAACACATCTCGGGGTCAAATTCCATCACGATACCCAGGGTGTAGTAGATTAAGTAGGCAATGCAGAATTGGAACGATTTTAGCTCTTTTAGGTGTAGTAGATCTAAGCATTTGTAATTGTTAAAACGCGCGACTGCTGGGCACACCAGGTCGCTTTGACGTATTAATTTTTTTTTTTTCAATAGTCAATATAGTTTCTTTTATACGACTTTTCATTGGTATTTTCTTGTTAGACTTTCTTACCGGTGCCGCTGCTCTATAACCTAATTTGATTTTCCGCGACCCTGGAATACTTTTTCATAATTTATTTTAATTTGTATATCTAGTGTGTTTTCAGGATGGTGAAAAAAAATAAACTACTGACTACATATAGTTAAATATAAGTGGGGGCTTGCACAAGGTCTTGTTCGGAGCGAAATTCCACGATATACCAATATAGTTTACCGGTTATCATGCGTTCATTTCATCGTCAATTTACCAATTACAATATTTCATATTCAGAAAAAAACAAAAACAAAGCGGAAATCCAGCAAAGAGCGACCAATCAAACGCTGTAGCTTCTTCTTCCAACCAATCAGGAGGTGGCATTTACTCAGCGGCAGAAGATATCAATCTACAAATGAGCGGAGCCAGTTCAAGTTACCAATCACAGCAAGGACAAAGCAGTCACATGTCCATAATTAACCAATCAGATGTCGCATATTCCACAGTGGAAAAGATTCAAGGAACAAAGCAAACAGTGGAATATCACAAAACAATGGTGGATAATGTACTATATGGGGAAACAGGGGGAGGAAGCGTTGATGCTCAGAAAATAACACCAGGTGCCCCACCTAGTGACAAGGCCGAAACAGTGGTAAATGTTCTATATGGAGCCACAACATAGAGAGTTTCATCCATATTCAGCTGACCTCAAAAGTACACACACTTTTCCATCGACGAAATATGGCGTCGTTGTCGATATTGGACACGAAATGGACGTATTGATCGTTTTGTTATTTTGCATTTCATTCATTCATGTTGTAAAAAATCGCTTTTCTCTTTAACTACAGGATCAATTGCTTTGAAATTTTCAGTGGTTAAAGATTGTTAATCTCGTTGGAAGGCTATTACTTTCATTTATTTCAAACATTTTGTGGATCATATGGGATTTGTTTTCACTTCCGCATTTTAGCGCTCTCGGCGATTTCCAGGTACTGAGAGATTTGATGCTACTTCGTTTTGGTTTTCGTGTCCATATAATTGAGCATTGCTCTCTTGGTTCACAGATATTATATAAATATACATCAATCGTAATATATATTTTACAACTAACAGTCACTTAGTTAGTAGGACTCAGTGGCATAGGCGTAGCCAGGGGGGGGGCCAGAGGGGCCATGGCCCCCCCCCAAAATTTTCAAGAATTCCATTCCTAATCCACCAGTTTTGTGGCATCTTGTCTCGTCAAGCGTGTACACCGCAATACAGATCGTTATGACGCTACTAGCAACCACCGTTGAGGCTGAGCGGTCTTTCTCATGCATGAAACGGGTAAAGACATGGCTGCGCTTATCAATGACGTCCAATCGCCTTTCTGATTTGTGTGTGCTTCACTGTCACCGTGAAATGGTCACCGAGGAGAAATTTAATCGAGTTGTGTCGAGCATAGTTGGCGGGAAGCGAAGGAAGGACTTTTAATTGGGGCGATGTATTTTACTTATTCAAATTGCGTTGTTAATATTTGTTGTTTCAAATAAAAAATTGTTTATTAATGGATTTTGTAGTCACAAAAATCCAGCTGAGTAATTGAATCAGTTTGCTTGGTGACCAACTGTTGTTGTTTTGCGCTTGAAGAACGGGCGCTTGAAGAACGGTGTTTTAAACCCAATATAATTTCTAAAATTTTCAAATTTGGCCCCCCCCAAAATTTTGGGCTGGCTACGCCACTGCTCAGTGGTTTAATCGACGCAATCCGCGGTAATAAGAACCCGGCCAGTTCCAATTTTTTTTTCTGAGGAGGGGGGTCAAATATTTTTTTTTTATAATGACGTAATACGATGCCTTCTCGTGCCTTCAATCAAAGTCAGATAAAGGCAGCCACTGATATTTAACATTATCTTAAAGAGTCTATCTACATACTTACTTCGCTGTCAAAGTTATCCAAGGTATATAAGTGCGCATTTTCATCTAACTTGGTTTAAGGCCAGGCTTAAGTCTATAGATGACTATTGGTTCAATTCACAAAAACAGAACGTTGTGCACACTTTAGTACGCAGGTAGACGTGCACAAAATTGTGACGTCATAATATGGAAGTGACGTGATAATAAGAATGTGATTTTTATAATATGACGTCATAATACAAATATCATGTTTCTCTCCCATTTTGTATTTATTGTTTGCTAAATTTTAAATTTTTTCTGTTTGCATATTGTTAATTTCATAACCAAGGATGCCCTTTTATTTCTATCTACTGTATGAGTATTTTTGCACATGTCCTCTATGCCTTAAACGATTACGCTGTAATATCCAAATTGATATTGTTTTGGACCTCCTGAAGTATGCGCACCAAGATGGCGCACAACCTGAACTCAGGGTGTCTGTCTGTCTGTCTGTCTGTTAGATGCACGCGATATCTCACGAAAGCGAGATATATAACCGCATAGGTCAAATTACTAAAAACTTAAAAGTTTGGGAGCTGCTGGCCAGAACATCATTTATGGTGTAAACATCAAACGAAAATGTCGGTCAGAGACCGAAGACTTATCGATCGAAAGTTAGGGGATCCCCAAAACATCGCTCTTACCTCATAGTGACACCTTGTGTCCCATCACTAATTAATTATTAACTCGCTATTTATACGACGTAATTCGCCCAAAATCAGTAGGCGTCTGGTCCGAGATATGATAAATGCACATGCAAAATTTGGAGCAGATTCAACCTCGCCTTCGTGAGATATCGCGTTCATCTAACAGACAAACAGACAGACAGACAAATAATACCTCTCAACCTATTTACCGATCTTAAGATTGATAAGTAATAACATATTGAACATAAAATGGCCATGTAACACTTCTAAAACAAGAACATGAATACCGCGCGGAGTGGCTAAATTGTTGTCCGTTCTATGGGAACAAAACATCAGACAATGCTATTTTATTTTTCTGGCCTGCCAAAGATGGCGGTGCTAACTAACAAGGGCATAGTGGGGGGTGGTTTTGGGTGTCGGAACCCTCCCCCCTCTTTTAAAATGTAAAAAAATGAAAGAATTTTTCTGTTTCATACATATCAATATTGCGTAGGTTGAAACGTTTTCAAGAACTTAAGACCCATGAAAACACACGATTCCCCACGTTCGATCCCCCTGTTTCGATCTAACTCAGCAAATAGAAATTTCATAAATCCTCCCATTGGAAATTTCTGGCTACGTCTCTGCCTGCTAATAAGCCATAATTTTATATTCAAGCTTTTTTTTTTAAATCGTTTTTACGGTATACCCCCTTTGCCCCCAAATCTAGGATAAGAAAATGTTGATTTCGAAATGCAAAAAAATTAAATTAGGATAACAAACTTTGTCAATCAAAATTTGATTTTTCCAAACACAGAGACAAAATTTTCGTCAGCTCGGAGTCTGGAGTTGCTTGTATATCTTAACACAAGAGATATGGAAAAATAGTGAATCGAAGCCCCGGTTACAAATAAAATTTTCTTCCTACCGAAAAATACCGTCTTGTCATCGCTATCATCAATAATATCGCCGGTAGGCTACTTCTTCCCGTATAATTATTCGTTTAATCAAGTCTGTTGTATGTACTAGGCCAGGGTGGTCCAAGGTTGTCGGCTCCGCGGGCCACAAAATTATTTTTGCATTGTTCGCGGGCCACAATAGTGCCGAGAATAGGAAAACAGTGCAATACAAAACAAACACTTTTATTGTACAATAACATAGTTATCAGGCATAGCCATTCTAGGCTAATACAATCCGCATTCTATTTTTAGTTTTCTATGATGCTAATATTGTTAGCATATATTCCCGACCAAAAAGTTAGTAAGCCAGATAACAATTTACACTGCCAAGCACATCATTCAACTTCGCTAGTTTCCCCAGCTAGCCATAACACTAATTAATTCAGTGACATTAGTGATGCCAATATTTCAAAAGATTTATCTGATTAATTTTATGACGAAACAACACGAAATGCAATTTTTTGATTACTCTCCGAATGTGACGCGGGCCACAGATAATAAAGCGGCGGGCCACATGCGAGCTGCATGGTTTAGCGAACTGCCCTTCTTTTCTTTTGAGACATGCATAACAAATGAGTTGCTGATCGGCTCCTGTCGTTTCGTTCGTAGTCTGATGAACCATAAAATAATTAAGACCCCCCGCTAACCTCAAATGTGTACGACAGACGACCGATTGTAACTCCAAGTGTGACAGGACATTTTTTGGCGTAAAAATTGGATTTGGACGTCATAAGTTAATCACACTGTTCAGTAATTGGCTTGCTTGAAGAAAAGAAAATAATCTCGACGCAGCCTTAGTAAGAGGTAAACCACGAGTACGGCGGGTACGAGGTAGGTATGCACGGGACATACGGTGACCCTGATAATATTCAAAATGTTACTGGGCGCGTAAATGGTTTTTCTAAGCTTTTGTTGTAAGAAAACAGACTAATCGATTTCAGAATTGCACTGTTCGAAGGGCCATTATTTTTATATTTTATCTTGGATTTCGAGATAATAATGACTGACTTCAAAGAATTATGTCGAAAAACGATTTTTAGGCAGATTGCGTTTGTCGTACATTGATAGCTCGGTGCTGTGGCGCATCGTGTTGAGCGTTAGGAATACACTCGCCATCGCACCTCTGATTACCCTGCATGCGTTCGCAGGTTCGAATTCCATGGGAAATAATTATGTCCGAGGATTGATGAACTGGATAACTAACCAACCCGACATGGACTGGTAACCGGACGAGAGGTCGTAGTTCGCCATATGACTAAGCCGTCTTATTCGATTTATTTTCACAAAAATAGTTGATAGAGACATATATATGTAAATAAATATATTGCGATCTTAGAAACAACAATGACACAAATAAATGAAATAAAAACAACAAAAATATAATATCTAAACGTATTTTGCGGACCATAAGACGCACTTCAAACCTTTTGTTCCGTAAAATACGATATTCAGATTGTTTCCGATTTTACAAGTTTTTATGAAGTTGAAAATTTACTAGCGCAATAACTGAACTATATAATGAGTATTTTTCTTTCTCTTTTCAAGCAAGTATATATATAAGCAAGAAGACCTCGTAATAAAACGTAAGCATAAAGCATAATTGAAGTGAACCGACAAGAAAAAGCTAGTTGAAATGTTGTTTAACAAAGCAAGTTTTGCATGTTCGTTCTGAAAGCCTTCGATTGTTATGTGATGTGGATGAAGTGTAATGAAGCCCGGTCATTCGGTCAGGTAAAAGTGTTTTACCAAGCATGACTCCAATACGGACATCGGCTTTATCAAAATAGTCTCTAATGACTGATGCGATTGTCTATAGCTTCTAAGATTTTTCAACATCTCAGAGTTCACCATCGTCAGCAAATCTAGCACATGTTTTTTCCTACCATGTTTTCTGAAAATTGTGTTTATCGATGTAATGAGAAGAGAACCATCGCCATCCTTATACGCAATGTGGCCTGGGAGTGTGGAATTAATGGTGACAATGTCGCTGAAAATAGGTACTGTGATGCCATCAGTCTCAATGTCATCAGTTTCTATCTGCGAATCTATCGCTTCCATATGTATTTTTCCTCGACAACATTGATATATAAAAAATTTTGGAATTCCTTGAAGGCTCACAGCGACATCATTCTGAAACATGTTGTCAATCTCTTTTCTTTTAATATAATCAGTCTCCCCATTGTTCCCATATAAAACTTCTATTTCTTGTTTTTCAGATTCGTCCTTGAGCAAATTACCGTGTGTCATTATTATAATGACCACGAAAGAACAGTGATTTTTCGATATTCTAGATATGCCCTTCAAAAGCGTGCGCATTTCCTCAGCTGATTTATCTAAGTGAGCCTTGCCTTCATACAGATCACATCCTAGGATTCTCCATAGGTTCACCATATTATCAACGTCTTTGTCACACGCTGGTTTTCTGCTGCTCGGATTTTCATCTCTATTTTCGTCATAAAACGAGTTGTTTATTATCAATACGCGCCCTTTTTTGCCATTCAACGGATAAACGCCTGGCTCGTCCGATTCGATGGTGCGTTCTTCTCCGGCTGTTAGAACTGCGACGGCCCTCGCTATGTCGCCTGCTATGTTACATGCACCCTCTGTCGCTGTACGTTGTTGTTCCGGAGTTTTTCTTTCCTCAGATTTACAATTCTTCGTCGCTTGATAGTCATCGCAACTACTCAACATTGTGAAGTTCGTCTGAAGGTTCTTCTCAAAAAATGAATATTGGATGTCCCCCACAGCTGGCTTTTATGCTTATCATAATCATGACGATGACCAGTTTGAAACGGTCATGCCATTAAGTTTTGAATGAATCAGTTAAAAATTATTAGTAAAACACAGCACTATTACTTGAATTCAAAATGCATGTTTTTTTGCAAATTTGTAGCAACAAGTATGTATGTATCTCATGTAATTTTATTCGGGTTTGATTTTGCTTTCGCTTGAAATTTTTTATTGACGAAACCCAGAGCAGATAAATTAAATATATTTGTTAGTTAAACTGTTTCACTAAAATCTCATTCTTAACTTTTTTTAAATTTCTTAAAAGGCCCGGCTCACCTCAACCCGGATTGTTATGAATATTAAATTATATAATTCTTGTCACAACTTAATTATAATGGGTTGTATTGTTTTTAATATCATTTATGAACGGGACTTAGTAATTAACGCAATGTTGAATGTTAGTTTTACTTACAACTTTGAAATCATCACGCACTAATATGATGCGCAACACCCACTCAAACATGTTTTTCAGTTGACTCAACCGTTTGACGTCTTGTTGTTCCTTTATTAGGTTATAGGTTAGTAGACTACGTTGGATATTCTAGAACCCCATTTAAATAAAACTTCGCTTGAATGCGAGGTGTATCTCAGTATCATTGCCATTGACCAACCTAAAAAATCCGGTTGAAAAATTTGAATACTGGCGATCTTCATAATTGTTTTCATGCCAAGGTTTTATTATTACTGTATTCAGAATTATTCTCAAACCACAGTATATACTTTATTTTTGTACCAATTTTACCGCGTCAATGAATGGTAATTTAAATAAAATAGTTTAATATGACCACGCGTCAACTGACATAACGACACCCACTTAATTGCTTACCTATTTTTTTCTGACGAAGTGACTCAATTTTTTCGCGTATTTTGAATAGGTAATGAGTTCATAGTTCAGTAGACTACCTAAAAAATTTAATTTGATTTCAAAACATAAACATAATGGAATAACGGAACAACAGAAAATAATATCTTTTTTACAATTTGGTTACACAATTCCCGCTAGGAGGGTGCTCTTAAACTAGGTTCCGATTGGGTTTTACACTATTCAGCAATATATACCGTGTAAAACGCGGATAATCATATAAGTATAATTTTATTCCAACTCCGTAATCCGTATAACAGCATAAACAACGCGTTTGATATCAAAGTTCAGTGAATGATTTTATTTTTCGTGCTTGCAGCGAGCCATTTTCTTCCGGATATGAGTTTTTGACTCCAAACCTTTTTAAACGACTCGGTAGTTTTGTGATTGACAGCCGCATTCCTAAACGTAAATGCGTTGCTAGACTATTTTTTTGTTTCGAAGCTGGAGGTTTTAGGAATTTCAAAATAGGATTTCCATATTTATGAGGAAAAAGCCGATAACATGGCTCATTGTATACCGTACCTAACCACGGCCTTTCTCGCCAGGTTACCAGTCCATGTCGGATAACTGAACAGTTCATACTGTCATACTATTCATAGGCATAGGGTGTCACAGCTAGATAGGATAGGATTTAAATATTTATCCCGGGGGGGAGGAAAGCCGATAAGCGAACCACGGCCTCTCGTCCGGTTACCAGTCCAGGTCGGGTATGTGATTAGTTAGCCAGCTATTTGTTTTCGGAAGCACAGAAGCATGGACTTGATGGCGGAGGAAGCGGTACGGTACCGGTACGGTAACCGACCATCATCGGTTACGTGAACCACCCTACGGCGGCGAGGAGTCCAGCAATCCTCTCGCACATGATCATCCCTGCATGGGATTCGAACCTGCGAACCCACGCAGAGTAATTTGAGGTGCTGTGGTGAGCGTATTCCTAACGCTTAGCCCGTTGAGCCACACCGCCGCGCCATACTGAGACCAGACGCCCCTTGTTTGTGAGACACATTTGAGTGTTTGTTTAATTGAACCAAATGGAGGGAAATTATTGGAATTTGGATAGTGTGCCATACTAAACTACTAGTGGGCGTAGCATACAATTTTATTTCGATCTTTCGTCTACAACACAGAACGCACACAGAAAAATTGCTCAGACAATGACGACGGAAAGATCGGGGAGTTGGGCAAAACCTAGAGAAAGGTTTATAGCAAACGTTGTAACCAGTGTTTGTGCCCATTCACCCACACTCACAAAACTGGAAAAACACATCACGACAATCTATAACTGAAAAAATGAATAAATTTATAAACAGCATACATGAACACAAGAAAGTAATATTCACGGGCTACTTACTTCTACAGTTGTATATAATCTTGGTGTGTAAAAGTGGTGAAAATTGCGGAATAAGAAGAATGAGAATTACGGTGTGTGCCGGACTGCCGGTGCATGTGCCGAAATGCAAATCCTAAAAATCACATCTAAGTGATTAGTGTTAGCTACTGTTTTTTATATTCTTTGTAAACAAACAAAGCTAAAAAGTAAACAAACAAATTTAAAAACTCTAAAACTAGTTTCGGGCGTTGCTTTTTGTTTAAAACTTTAAGGAAATGGTTAAATTTCACAAAGTTTTTATTTAAAAATTCATAATCTCGAGCATTTGCCTATGATGGTCAGTCATTAAATTAACTCTTTTTAACCAGTTTTACCGAATCAAAATTTCAGTATGCAGACATGTCGGCTAATATCCTTAACTAACATCTCTTTTTGTCAAACGCTTGAAAATCCAGTTGTGAATATTGTCTGATCTTCGATAACTTTTATTTCTTTATGATTACCGTAAGCTTCTTTTAAGGATATCACATTCCCAGATAAGTCTGTAAACGTAGCTCCGATATGAATTCCATTCTTTTTTCTATCAAGAACATTGAATAAAATCTTTTCTTGTGTTCATTCCATATACCAGGTTTCCATTCTAAATAATATTGCCGATACCACATAGATTTGAGATCAGAGTTCCGGATCAAAGAGTATCCCATCGTTCAACACGTCCGCACCCCACGGTGGTCAGATCCGAATGGACATGTCAGTTCTTACCGGTCACCCCTACCTGACTAAGCCATTCAAACAGCTATTTCTCTCGTTTTCTTCTCGCAACGATCCCGATAGGAGAGAGATCACAGACGTTAGTCAGTTCTTTATCGTCGGCATCAATGCCATTTCGGGCGATCGTGCATGAATTTGGCAAGCTCTATGACGTGATTGTTATGTCTTAGTGACATAATTTTTGGATGGCATAGTCAGGTGGGGGTTATGTCAAAAAAATTTTATGCTACGCTACGTCATGCATCTGAAATATATAACTGTAAGTAAGCATAATTAGTATAATTTATTCATCACCATGTGAAAATTAAAGATACATTCACAAACAGAAGTAAAGCATTGTTAAGTATACCAGTAATGCAATTTAATTGCCTTATTATCGTCACATACTAATTCTCTCCACATACCTACTGCTATACCCACACAGTCTTTCAAATGCACAGCACTAAAATATTTTTCATTTGCATTAGTACAATAGTATTTTAATTAATATTGTGTAATATAGTTAGTGTCTAATAATATCAAACCTATTGGTGATTGAAAATTTCCACGGAAAAAAATAAAATGGGAGTTCTACGAGCAAAATGTGTCATTGTTGGTGACTGTACTGTCGGAAAAAGTGCGATTACCCAAGTTTTTCACAGCGATGGGACGATGTTTCCAAAAAACTACACGATGACTACGGGAGTCGAGGTTTGTCAAAAAGTCATTCCTGTTCGAGAACGTGGTGATTTTGTCGATATTTTTATGTTCGATTCAGCTGGAAAAGATGTTTTTTCTGAAATCTGTGAAAAACATTGGGACGATATTGGAATGCTTGCTGTTGTTTTTGATGTTACAGATATAGAGTCGCTCAACCGTGTAAAAAACTGGCGGAATAAAATGAAAGAACATATCAACCCGGAAAAAAATATTCCGAGTGTTCTCATCGGTAACAAAGTGGATTTGGACCTAAGGCGGCAGGTGACAACAGAGGAAGGTGAAGAGCTTGCCGAACAATTGGGAATGACGTACTTTGAAGTTTCTGCAAAAGGCAATGAAGGAATTGAAGCACCTTTTCAATATCTTGCTCAAAAGTTTGCAGACCATCATCAAGACTCTCGAGAAAATGTACAAATGCTAGAATAACTGTTTATATCTATTACTTGTAAATAGTACTAATAGTGTCAACTTTGATACGAAACGTTAAATGAACCGGAACTAGACAGCACTAGCTCCATTCCCATTCAGACTATTTTATTCTGACCGTTTATGACAAAAAATAGGCTCATACTGTTATGGTTCTTTGTTTTATTATTTTCTGGGTTAGAATTAACAAAGCATACCTGTCTAACAGAATACTGGTATTGTTGATAAAGCACAATATAATATAGTACTATATTTGTACTAATATGAAGTCGAGTTGGACTAAACAGAAAAATACATTCATTTTGGTAAAGTTTTTTACCCGAAATAAACTGGGATTAGTTGGAGTAGTCTATGAATGTCAACTCTCAATTTAATATATTGCATTATAGAATTTAGGAATAATTTAGAAAAGTTTAGGTTAGAAAATATGCCTGACCAAAACACCCTCATTCCAATGTTTAAAAACTGTAAAAAAGGAGAGATGGTCAAACTATTATTCATCATAACTCTCCTGCATTCCCAAATCAAACTGTAACTTCAATAAGTTCTCTGTAGAACATGACCCATTTCAGTATATAATTTTACTTTCATATTTGTATTAATCATTTATGCAGCTTAGGCGGATAATTGGCTACATCCGGCTGTTTTTTGCATGTACAAATTCATATTTGAAGGTTCCAATTTTGTTTTCGTCTTTTCTAAATAATTTGTGGATTTTTATGGAATCTTTGTATTGTTTTGTAGTTGTATATATTTTGTGTTAGAATATTATGTGCTATACTGTTGTCCCACCACTAAATTTCTATTTTTCTCAAATTCTGTTTATCTTAGGTTAGGTTAATATAAGTTAGAAATTGTGGGGATGAAATTCGGCTCTCTCTGGCCAGTGCTGGGTTATTGCCCTGACTCGAGTTGGATTAGAGTCACTGTTCATAAAAGTGACTCAAGACGTATAATTGATATGTCTTGGGCTCGATTTTCTGTCAGTGGGCTGAGTTATTGACCCAACTTCAGACTTGAATGACTGACTGATGACTTGTAACTCGAGTATCAGTAGTTAATGAGAAAAGCCATTTTTCCGAAACAACTAGAAAAATACTAACAACAACATAATAACTGATCAGAAACTTAGTTGTGGGACAGAAATACTAGTACTTTATTTTTATGTAGTGCTGTATTTTGGTAAATTTATTTTTGTGTGAATTTCACTGTATAATTTTTTATGTATATTTTTAGATAAAAGATTTATAATAGTGCAGTAATAGCTAAAATTTTGCCATTCAAGTCTAAGACATCAAAACTGGATAAATTATAATATAGGATAACTTAAGCTAATAATCAATGGGCAGACCTACACCAACAGCTGAGGAGCGGGCGAAATGCTGGAATTCCCGGGATAAATATTTTAAATTCGTCTACGGGAAATGAGGAATCCATTTGCTGGAATCCATATAAAGAGATTGTTGCAGATTGCCTTCCTGTTTGGGTAAGAGTTTTGGCGCTGCAGAAGTGTGTGTTCCAATATTGCGGTAACTACCGTGATTTTGTTCGCCTACTTTACATCAAGTTGTGTAAAGAGACTGAAACCTATAGGGGGTATATTCACTTGTCTAACACAGATTGTATCATTGTACCCGAACTCGTAATAGAACTAAAAGGGGAAAATCTGAACAAAATTATGGCCGAACCCAAACCTGGTACACATACTTCGGGAGTATCAGAGTGTCACTGTTTGATTTTCCTTTGAATTTTTACAATTAAAAAACCCATCTCTTACTCGGGGGTGTGGCGAGCGTATTCCTATCGCTCATCAGGATGCTCCACATCGCTGGGAAAATATTGAAATTTATGAATTTGAATACTTTTAGAACTATAGCTACTGCATCTGAACCTCATCCAACAGCCCGTATATAAAGAAAACTTATTTTGATCTTGATTAATTTGTTATTGCTATGATAAAATTGAAGTCGCACATATACACTACACTCTAATATTTAAATTGAATATTGTATCAATTTGTATGCTTTGTAGTGCATCATGATAACCAATCTTTAATTAGGCACCATGCTAAGTACATAAGTATGTGCTTGTAATGCTAGGTTGATCCACTAGTTATAATGATAAAGACTTCTAGATATAGAATTATGGAAAAAAATATTCAGTCAAATTTTTATTTTGTCATATACTAATTACAAAATTCTGATTTGCACTGCAGTCTATCTGCTCTTAGTGAGTGTCAATTTTGTTGACTTTATTGTATCAGTGGTGTCTTGGTCTTTTTTTGCCCTCAGCCTTGGACTCCACTGGTTTAGCCAGGCCACCATGAATTGATGGTTTTACCAAGTAAAAATCTTTAGTGAGACTGGACTCGTAGATGCTCATTGACTTGCAGTCATTCATATCTACTACACCTCTCCTATTCATCATTTCACGATTAACTTTTGTGAGCATATCTGTGACATGCCTCAGGCGGTAGTAATCCATAAAGACATTGAAAATGGACTGAATAAACCAAGATCCATTTTCATCCTTAAACGACTTTTGGTTTGCAAGCGCTGGATAAGCTGTGACGACGTCACTTGTTGTGGGCATCAGTGGATCTATTGGCCTTAGATTAGGAACAGCATCAGGAGTAACGTTACTTCCCCTCAACACGCCTCGATTAATTTCTTCTCCTCGGCAGTATTGAAGGATGAAAAGCTTGGGTATATCTTGCAAGTTTTGAGCAGCATTGTTGTCAAACAATTTTTGTATTTCATCCACCTTGATAGGGTTATCATCGTTTCCCCACAGAACTTCTTGGTAGCTCTCAGTTTGACCTTCTTCAGATACTTTTCTCATTCCTCCATGAGTACTTATCACTACCACCACATAATCGTACCCTCGCGAGCTACCAAGCTTCCTGAGCAGATCTCTCATTTCAGCAGCACTTTTGTCTCGATGAGATCTTCCTTCTAGCAGTGTGCATCCTATGGTATCTCTCCACAGTTCCTCCATAAGTTCCACATCTTTATGACAAGCGGGTGTTCTATGATGTTGTTCATCAAATGAAGTACCGGTAAACGAATTGCTTATGATCAGAACGAGACCTTTTTTTGCTGTGACTTTATAACTCTCGAAGTCCAAGCATCTTTCGTATCCACGGGCTTGCAAGTTGTCAGTATCAGCAGCTGGTTGCACTATTCGTCCTGGATTTTCAGCTATTGATTGATTCGCCCCTTCTTGCTCACCACAAAAAAATTTATGCTTTAAAGTAATCAATGCTTGTAGTAAGTTTCCACTGCTATCATTTTGATCCTGCCATGCCATAACCGACTTGAACTTACGCTCTAGGAAATCGGTTCCCCACCTATCTTCAAGTTCAGCCATCTTATTCTCATCCAAGCCAAGTTTTACTCGAGAGAATTCTCTCCATTGTGCTTTGTTGAATTTTTCTGTTACTCTATAGATGTCTCTCCTTTCCATGATACATTGAATAACAGAGTTGTAAATTTTACCACAAACTTCAAATGAAAATATTTTGTTTCAAATTAGCACAAACTGCCGCAGCCAGAAGCTCACTAAGTGTCTGTCCTTCAACCACTCCCTGTTGTGAGTCGTGACTATATATTTGCATTTTATTGGTCATAATATCATTAAAAATTAATTTATGATAAATTAAGGTAGGCCATGCAGGATTATATTAATATTGTGCATGAACACATTGTTATATTTTTTTTATTTAACTCTGATCTGAGCTTGATGTTGCCATGAACCTGGTTTATTTTTTTCATAATTAATGCATACAGGGAAGTATCTGCACCAGGAAATGAGGTAAAAACTGAGTGCAATCAAGTGAGCAGGTCTAATGACTCAATGGGTTATAATAGGGTTGTGCAACCTGCGGCCCGCACGGAAAAATTGTGCCAGGGGTCACCAAACTACAGCGGCGTCCTTCCATTTGACCCGAAATAACAACAAAACATGGCGAATTTTTTCCAAGGGATGTTTCCCCGAGCATCGACTTCCTTGTTCATTTCGTAACATTGGCCAATCAGCATGATGCAAAAAGTGACGTAACAATAGACCCTTTCGCATCCACTCGGACAGATTTTTATTCATGGTTTCTTCAAATAATACCTCGTTTGCGCGCTTTTGAATGCTATTCGTTAGTTTTTGGTGTTGATTCCAAAATTCAAGTATACGGTAAATCAAATAAATCAATCATCATTTTGCCTTCTTAGGAGTTGTAGTTTAATTGCAAAAATAAAAAATTGTCTAGAAAAAGATGTGATAGCATAGGCTCAGGATTCTCTACCGACTACCGACACGCAACGTTTTTTGCGAAGGATGCACTCGTACACTCATGGCGCATGCTTTCGGCGAAACTGTTGCTGTTTACGTTTCTCGTGCTAAAATGAACGGCAAACGTTTTGAAATCTTGTATATTTGTTTTGCTGTGATGTGCTTGATCTATATTTTGCGATAAAGATCATAATATTTAAGACTTCAAAAATGTAGAATTTATATTGTTGAATAAATGGAATGGATTTCCCAACTTTTGCGAATCTATTGTATTGCATTGACAAAAATATTTGTCCGGCCTGTTTCAACACAATTTTAGTCATACCTGGCCTGCGGTCAAAAAAGTTTGCCTATGACATTACAATGCTTTTTTGTGCTTGCAATTACTAGAAAGCTTATGTCAAATAAAGGTGCAGCCCGTTGGTCATACACCCCTGGATAATAACATCCTAAGTACCGGTATATATATATATATCAAAGTTAATTTCAAAATTTTCTATCTCATTAATGAAGTTGGCTTTTAAGCCTGAAAATCTCTCTAACGGGCATGGATTGTTAGGCCACTTACATAACTATTTTCCAAAACAAGACATTCGCCACAGTTATTTCAGCACAAACAAGGATTCCCCAGTCATTTGCTTGTCTTATGGTTCATTTAATATGTGGCAATTTATGGTAATAATCTCTGTTCTCTGCTAATTCGCCGAATTCATATGGTACTCACCATAAATAACAGTAATTTTGAAACTCAAAAATTCCCAATTTGGTAAATTAGATATTGGAACATTGGGTGTCGCTGCTTGATAACCAGTTTTGATTACCACGGCTTGCCCTTTCCAGTAAACCTTATATAGCATTTTTGGTTTGGAATAAATAAACTTGACTTTTTTATTGGTAACAAATTGTAATGGACCAGCATGGAATATTTTGATATATTGTGTGAAACATGTACTATTTCGATAACAATTCTAAATCAAAAATTTCAAAATGAGAATTGGGCGCAAGTGTGGGTTTCTGTGATTCTCAAACTTTTATGAACTACAGCCCCCGTCCAAAGACTCAATATTCTGTGGCCCCTGCTTTTTACTATTAAAAACTATTCTTGTTTTACGAGTTTCCTTGAGGTATTTCAATCGCCACGTTCAATAATAAAAATACAAGTATGACTGTATTAGAATAAATACATTGCAGCCAAAGAATTATACAGTTAATTTAGTTTACCGGTATTAATGCAATGTCATGGCTATTGATACCTTGTGGAAACCTTCTCATAGTATGTGAACCAAGATGGCTGACACCGGAACGTAGTATATGTACCAGATTATGGTTAGGCTGTAATTTATTCCAATTTTCCTTAATAAATTTGACTCGAGTATAGGCTTTGTAACGCTCGACTTCCGTGATTGACTCAACTTGGTTCGCGACTCTTGAACTTAGGGTCCTGTACCAAACCCTATTTGTTTAACCTCGAATTTTTAAATCAGCAATGTCGGCATAGTTAGGTCCAAAATCTCATTCTTTTGGCACTTGCGAATTTCAATTAGCAATTTCGTTCCTGAGGGGATGCATGTGACTTTGTTTCGAGCTGCCATATAGGAAAGATAGGATAGGATTAACATATTTATCCCGGCGAGAGGAAAGCTGATAAGACAGCCTAATCATACGGCGAACCACGGCTTGTCGTCTGGTTACCGGTCCTAGTCGGGTATGGGATTATTTAGTCAGTTACGTTATTTGTTTACAGAAGCATGGACTTGGTGGTGGAGGAAGCCGTAACCGACCAGTGGTTACGTGAACCACCCTACAACGGCGAGGTGTCCAGCAATCCTCTTGCACATAACCATCCCACATGGGATTCGAACCTGCGAACCAACGCAGAGTAATTAGAGGTTTTGTGGCGAGCATATTCTTAATGCATAGCATGATGCATCTCACGTCGAGGAAATACTCAAATTTATGAATTTGAATACTTTTTAATAACTTCTGCAACTTTCCCCACAGCCCGTATAGGAAGAAAACATCTCCTAATCCTGATCAATTTTTTATTGCTAGATAAAATTAAAGTCACACATAGAATGTGCAACTCATTACACTATAAAGCAGGGGTGGGCAATTACTTTTCTGAGTGGGCCGGTTGAAAATAATGCACTTGATTACTGGGCCGGAGTCCCAAAGCTCAATATGAAAAATTATAAATAAAAACAGTTTATTTACAAGAGATAGTCCAACAACCAGGCTAACGTTTATTGGTAATAAGAAGCACAATGTAACAATCAGGGTCATTATGACATGATTTTCATCAATACTTTCAATGCAAATTTATATTCTTAATAACTATAGGCGAAATTTCAGCAGACACAATTAGGCTGGATGAAATGGTGGGCCGGATCCTTCCTGTGGGCTGTATTTTGCCCACCCCCGCTCTAAAGTCTACATCAAATATTCTCATTGCATGCTTGGGTAGTGCATCATGATAACAAAACTTAAAGCATCAGGCTATGTATATAAGTATGCTTGTGATAATGAGATGTCTAACTATTAGCAATGGAAACTTTTTGAAGAAATTATAAAATGAAATGTTAAAATCACTTCAAATAATAGCTAAACAATTTGTAATCATCATTGATACCGGGTTTTCCGAATAGGGCTGTTAATTGGAGAGAAGACAAATTTGAAAACAAAGGATGGGACTAATTGCACATTGCCTTTTGATTGGTTCATGCTGAATAGCGTAATATGTCTGGAAATATGGCATTTGACTACTTAGAGATAAATATTCATGTCGCAAAAACAAATATTTCGCTTGTGTCTCGCTTCCCATTTTTGTTGTGTACTAGTAACTTCAGTGTATGTTGGCGCAGATATAAATTTAAAATTAGGACATGGATTGGGTTAAATCTTACCACCATATCGACACCTCAAAACCAAACAGTGCTCCACTTTTCCAAAAAATGACATTTTTCAATTGCTGATTTTCCTGGACTTAGCTCTACATTTTGGTCTATTTGCCTTATCTCTAGGTGCTCTAGATCTCAAGACAGCTATGGACATAACCCTGCTTTTTTAAGGGCATTTGAGAACTAAACAGAGCTGTGTCTACTATAGTGGACATAGCTCTGGATAACTGCATTGTAAGTTGGGGCTAAGTCCGTTTTTTGGACATAGCTCCTCTCAAAAAATATAATACAAAGCGCTAAGTCCATACCAGCCTCTATAATAACATAATAAAGGGGCCCCAAGTCCAATAAAATTGTTTCTGGTCCAGAAAATTTAGAGCCAAAAAGGGTTAAGTCCAAAAAAAAAAAACAAAAAAAAATTGAGGGAGAGCACAAATTTTTTTATACCATCTAAATATGGCCTTCATTGTAACTTTGGTGGACCATAAAAACTAGACATCCTCGATGTAAGGTATTAGAGAAATAAAAAAAAGAAACAAAAAAAAAAATTTTTTGCGTTTTTCTCAAAACTAGAAAAATGGACTTATCCCAATTTGGATTTCATGCGTCGATATAGATCCACTTAAAATAAGCGCCTATGGACAAGGTCAAGACTTGTCGGTTTTTGAAAAAAATCTGGCATATGATTTTAAAGATTTGGATTCAAATTTTACAATAATCAAAAACATATGTCAGGTGAAGTGAATCATATGATTTTTACATTTGCTGCATCAGTGTTAAATACTATTTGCGAAATCCTAAATTATGCAAATGAATAATATAAAGTACACTATTCATAAATTGCTGCTCTGAAAAATGTTCATACTACGGATTACATATCTAAATATTATATATAATAATTATAGTCTGTAATTTTTAAGCTTTTTCTTTTTTACTTCTTTCTATTTGACTCGTTCACGCCGTGCTAGGAGGAGTCTGCGGATCAACCAAGTAGAAACGTTTGGTGAGACTAGACTCATAGATGCTCATTGACTTGCAGTCATTCAAGTCTATTTCGCCTCTCTTGTTCATCATTTCAAGATTGACATCTGTGAGCATATCTGTAACATGCTTTTGACGGTAGCCATCTTTGAAGACTTTAAAAATGGTCTGAATGAACCAAGATCCATCATCATTTTTAAAAGCCTTCTGGTTTTCATGCGTTGGATAAGCTGTGAGGACGTCACTTGTTGTGGGCATCAGTGAATCTATTGGAATTAGAGGCATATCATCTAATTCGTGAGGGCCGGCATCACCACTAACTTCACTTTCCCTTTTCACTCCTCGATTAACTTCTTTTCCTCTGCAGTATTGAAGGATGAAAAGCTTGGGTATGCCTTGTAAATTTCGAGCAGCATCATTGTCAAAAAGAGACTGTATTTCCTTTGCTCGGATATGTTTGTTGTCATTTCCTAACAAAACTTCTTGATAACTCACAAATGTTTGATTTCCGATTTTATTTTCTTCTGGAATCATCTCTCCATGTGTACTTATCACCACCACCATGTAATCATACCCGGGTGACTTACCAAGCTTCCTGAGCAGATCTCTCATTTCAGCAGCACTTTTGTCTTGATGAGATCTTCCTTCTAGCAGTGTGCATCCTATAGTATCTCTCCACAGTTTTTCCATACTTTCCACATCTTTATGGCATGCAGGTGTTCTATGACCTTTTTCAGCGAAGGAAGTAAACGAATTGCTTATGATCAGAACGAGACCTTTTTTTGCTGTGAGTTTATAGCTCTCGGAGTATCTTATGTATCTAGGGGTTGGCAAGTTGTAAACGTCAGCAGCGGATTGGATTGCTTGTTCGGCCTTTGTTTTAGTCTTGTCTTCCTGCTCACCACAAAAAAATTCTCTTTTCCATGACATCAGGAGCTGCAATGAGTCTCCTTTTCTATCAGTTTGATCTTCCCATGCTATAACTGTCTTGAACTTTTGTTGTTTGAAGTCGTCTCTCCATCTATCCTCGAGTTCATCCATCTTTTGTTCATCTAAATCGAGTTTCAGTCGACTAAAATCTCTCCATTGTTCTTTACTGAACTTGTCAATTACTCTATAGATGTCTACTCTGTTCATGTCAATTTAATTGAATACCAGAGTTTTTAATTTTACAAAAAACTTCGAATGAAAATATTTTGCTTCAAATTAGCACAAACTGTCGCAGCCAGAAGTTCAGGGTCTCTCTCCAACCACTCTCTGTTGCCAGTATATATTTGCATTTTATTGGTCATAATATCATTAAAATAGAATTTATGATAAATCAAGGTAGGCCCGCAGGATTATTAATATTGTGCACGAACGAACGCATTGTCATATTTTTTATTAACTTTGATCTATGTTTGATGTTGCCAGGAATTAAGCTTATTTTTTTTCATAATTATACACCGCATACAGGGAAGTATCAGCACCAGGAAATGAGGTCAAAGCTGAAAGTGCAATCATGTGAGCACTGAGCAGATCTATCAACTCATTGCGCATAACTTACCTAGTATATAGCAAATATAATCAAAATTGATTTTGAATCTTTTTGCTTTTTATGTGACTATAACCCCCTTGTAAGCCTATGTGAATGTGAGTGCAAGTATTACTAACCATTTGCAAATTGAAATGATCTTTGACTATGGCAGTGCAAATGGGTAATCTTTACTTGACCTATTTTTTTTGCCGCATTTTACGGGGCTGGCTTATTTTATTTGACGTTTCAATTACCGATACCACCATGCGCTCATGACAAAGAATGAGAATATCGGTCTGAGAAGACTTATCGATCAAAAATTAGGGGATCCCCAAAACAGCGCTCTTACTCCATAATCAATAGGCTTCTGGTACGACATATGATGAATGCACATGCAAAATCTGGAGCAGATTCAATCTCGCTTTCGTGAGATATCGCGTGCATCTAACAGACAAACAAACAGACAGACAATTACCTATCAACATACTTACCGATTAAAATCGATAAGTAATGAGTAAAGTAGAATCATTAAAAATGAAGCGAGCATTGGTGTCTCCAAATTACGAACATAAAGAAAAAAATCACAAATTTTTAGCCTCTGCCTGTTGTGCGGTAATATGGAAAAAATCCCTTAGTGATTTTTCCCTAATCCATGACTAAAAAGTTTGCACTTCTGACAAAATGGATTGTTATTTGAACCATTGTTTTATAGGCAAAAGGCCCAGGGATGGCCATTTCCGAATACTAAACTATTCCGAATACATTCTAAAATAATGTTTTCGAATCTGGAATTCCGAATACATTCTAAAATCGAAAATAACACATTTTTGTTTTAGTTGATTAAAACCCAGTAAATTAGGAAATAAGCTTCAATAGAAATATTAGAATGAAGCCACAAACCAACAGTATATGTACACAAAGTAATTGATAGTTTATAGCTATCAATAAAAAATAATAGCAACTTGTGACACAGTCAGTTTATTAACATTATTCACTTTGTACAAATGAGAAATGACCATATGAAAAGATAGCCAAGGAGTTGTCTGACGCTTTCTATCATTGGTATCATGATATTACGATAATAGTCAAGTCTATTGACAAAAATACTACTTGTATTCAGATAATTGTGTATATTTTCTGAGAGTAATAAAATTTATTGGCAATACAGGCAACAACAATCGAAAATCCATTATGCCTTTAAAAATTCTACTATTTAGGCCTGAGGTATTCTACTGCCTACCAGTATATTGTTATTATGTGTAACATAATGTTGTGTTTGGAATTAGAAATAAATTAGAGAATAGCTGACCACCACTGCCAGCGCGCAGCCAGGATTTTCGAAATCGGAAATTCCCATTGCCGCCTGTAACACCCACCGCCGTCTTTTCAGCGTATAATGATCATTCTGTTACGTAAAATATTCCATCCATGACAACTACGAGATTCTAAAATATCTTTATATATTAATTTAATATGTCCAACGTAACTAGCGGTTGCTTCTTCTTACGCCAAAAAAAAAAAACATTACTATTTGGTCCACGGCGATCTGTGACCTAAAATTACGAGATAAACTGCCTGATGTATTCAATTTTAATACGTATTTTTGCAATCTTGCCAACTCGTTATCGCCGTTAGAAAAATCTCAAATAATTATATAAAATCCTGTTAAGTGTAGAGTATAATTCATTTCATACAATGAATATACATCCAAAGTTTAGCAGTAAATTAAAAATACATATTCATCGCCGCGATTATGCCACCTAGACTTTTAACAACAAATAATATAACAACGAATATATATTTTTCTGTTGTGCAAAGTGATGAATTCGTGACCGACACGGGCATATTTAAAATGTCTTGCTTTATTAATTTAATTGTCTTCAATTTAACCTGCGGTTGCGTCAACAAAATAAAATCCTCACCACTCTTATATACCATTGCAATCCGCGGTCATAAAAATAAAAACGTGAGGTAAACTGTCCGATTAAATATTGTTTTGATCCGTATTTTGCGAATTCGGCAAATAATTAGATGTACTTGTCAACAGTGACTCCGCTCGATCGAAATGCTGCCACTCTGATTATTTTTAGATAAAACTGTTCGAGAAATCCATAAATATGCTGTAATATCTCAGAGTAAAATTTATTTCATCACAATAAAATTGATTGAATATACTTTAGATTAATTATATTATATACATCCTCACAACCCGGGAAAAAGTCGCGTTTCAAACCTTGTATCGTGTTAACATGAAAATATTCGACGGCAATTTAAAGTAATGGATAATCAGGCAAATCCCGCCCTCAATTAGTGACGATATGTTTCTAAACGCCGACCAAACATGTGTGCCAGAGGCACACGAAATTTTGCGATTTTCACTGCCTAGAAAAGAGTTTTTTAAATTTTCGCGGGCCTCAATAAAACTTATGTTGTTTACGGTTTTATTTTCAGTATTCTAAATTGCCGCTTTTCAATCAAAAAGTTGCGTTGTCTTTAGAAACTCGCCGCCGATGAACGTATTTACGAGATTCACAATTCCGTGCGCGTACAAAAATAAAATAAATGTTATCGTGGAACAAATTTGTGGAAAATTTTCGTTTCAGAGTAAATAACACAATCGTAAAGGCGTCTACGGGCCTAAATAACACGTTACGCTGATGAGTGATGAAAACAATCACGCGCAAGTTTCTATCGAGAATGTTTTCATTCAACGGAAACGTCTTGGAAGCGGCGTCGAAAATGTGTGACGTCACACAAATATCCGATATTCTTATGAACGTGAATTCCGATATTCGAATGACGAGATATTCGAATACATTCGAATACTTTATTCGAATTGGCCATCCCTGGGCAAAACAAATTTTGCGATAATTCTGAATTTTTGAAAAGAGCTATCACCCCCCATCGCCATCTCAGGGTTTTTTTAAAAATATATAGGGTGCCCATAAAGTCTTATCAAATTTTTTTTTAAATTGCAAAGTGAATTTATTAATATCAAATACTGTTTTGGACCTCACAGATTTGTTAGATGAAGTAAAAATACTTTTAATACAATTACTGATTTAAAAACAACAAACCTGGTTGAGATATATTGAGAACTGACTTCATAACAAAATTGAAATTGTAAAGGGACTTTATGGACACCCTGTATATAAAATTTAAATGTTAACTTTTTAGATTTTCCTACTTTAATAAAACTTAGCCAGGAACTCTCAAGTCCATAAGACATCAAAACTGGATTAAACAATATAGGATAAATACCCAATGGGCAGACCTACACCTACAGCTGAGGAGCGGGCGAAATGCTGGAATTCCCGGGACAGATATTTCAAATGTATGGAAGACAATTCGTCTGCGGGAAATAAGGATTCTATTTGTTCAAATTCATTTAAAGAGTTTGCTGCAGATTGCCCTCCTGTTTGGGTGAGTCTTTTTATTAAACACCTTGAAATTATATCGAAATCCCATATCTTTTAACTGCTTTACCATTACCTTATATAGATGGTGTGTGGTGTCCCTATAACTTAAAAAGGTGTGGTTCAACTAGGGATGTTTGAACGAATCGAATATTTGAATAAATTCATAATTCTTGATATACGATACCGGTAAGAAATATTTAATTTTTTTTTTTTTAAATTTTAAATATTTTTATTTTGAAATTCTGTATTTTGAGCATTTGGAAACTCTTGGTAAGAAAAGTAAAAGTGAAAAAGCATTTTTTTGGAGTAGCTTTATTATTGTTTTGCTAACTTATCAACATTGTAGAGACTGGCACAAGACCACCTAACTCATCAGATGGCTAGGGTTGTATTGGCCCTTGCTTAGTATCCCTTGCTTATGCAACTGGAATTTGTTATGAATTCGATGAAATTTTTTTTTAATGCCGTGACGTTCTTTCATGCCTTACGCTGAACAAAACCCCAGCGAATTGAGTACATAAAAATGTGTGGTAAGCTACCCAATTGTATTTAGTTTTAATATGCATATTACCGATCTTGCGAATTCGTTATCATCGTTATTGCAGTACAATAAAAAAGTGGACAATGTTTATTTTCATATTTCAACACCAATATTCAATTTCAGGTAAAACATTTCACTAGAAGACGAGATTGGGAGAAATATAAAGAAGAAAAAATGAGTCAGACGCAAGAGTCTTCGCCAGTGAAGGATAAAACCATGGGATCATCATGACATGAAAGATATTGAGACTTTAGACCAGTGGTTCTCAACCTTTTCCCTTTCATGGCTCATTTTTATTGCACAAAAACTTTATGGCCCATTAACTTTCTCATGCAAGGGAAAAATTACAAGAGAAACGGAAAAAAAATTCACCAAGAAAGACACTTTTAAAACACTTTTAAAGCAAAAATTACTATTTAGTAGCAAAAAGAGCATTATAATTCATTGCTGCCACAATCAAAGTTTACCTAATTTATCAATATTTATTATGTTTTGCAGCCCACCTGAAAATATTTCTGTGGGCCAGAAAAGGCCCAATTGTTGAGAACCGGTGCTTCGGACACAGTTACCCACCACATATTTCCTTGATGTTGATCCGACATTTAATTTAGTATCAGAAGTTAGTATGTGACCAGTTTTATCTCCGACCATAACATATGGAAATCATATACTGATGAATACTCTGAAAAATTCTGAATCAATGTCACACTTCAGAACTGATTATTTCAAATATCACTAATTTTTCAAATATTCTATTTGTTTTGAACATGTGTGGTGGTGGATGGGCGAGGAAACCGTATATCCATGCATATAAGCCTCTGAAAACGGCTCTAAAATGGTCAATTCACAAAAATCGCATATAAGCCGAACCTACAAGTCACTGTGCACCTATCACAGCGAATGGTTGCATAAAGGGAAATAAGGAAAATGATAACCATTATTGTTGTGCTTTACTTTCATTAAATGGTATGCATGTATATGCCGACCCTTTAGTGCAGTGGTGCTCTCAACTTTTTTTTGCGGCCCATTTTTGTTGCACGAAAATTCTGTGGCCCAAATAACTTTCTCATGCAAGGGAAAAATTACAAGAAAACCCGAAAAAAAAATTTGCAAAGGTAGACACTTCGCTTTATCAGTTAAAATAGGAATTACCAATCAAATGCAACTAATTTATCAATATTTAATAAATTTTGTGGCATCGCCTGAAAATGTTTTTGTGGCCCATAAGTGCTTATACCCATTTTGAACAAATACTAATTCCCAACGGCCTAATGTAAACTGCTTGTCTGAAGAAGTCTGACTTTGATCAGAGGAAACGTGACAGAAATACATTTGTGTTAGTGTGCAGAAGGACTCTTGAATTGCATAGTATAGTCATGTTCATTCCTGTTACAGCATCCTTGCTTTGTATGTGTACGTACTTATCCACTAGCGCAAAAGAATTGCGGAATGATTGGGAGTTAGTCTGGCGCAACCCAACTCATAATGGTCTAATGAAGGTTGTCAGATTTATCGTTTATAATTCAATCTATTTATTTTGCTTTAATAGTCCAATTAATTTAACTTACATCAGTAATTATGTATGAAACTGTGACCCCTATTCCACTGAAAACATCAACTTCTAGTTTGTTTAATAATTTGGATATTTTGCCGACTAATGGAGAGGAAGGTGAGTGATGATTAAGCATTTTTCCATCTGTGGCATACCTGGATTGTGAAGTCACAGATAATTTACTACTGGAAAGGCACACTAGAAAAAGCATTAACTCTGCAATGTTGCGCATTGTGCTGAGCGTTAGGAATTTTAAACAATGAGCCACAGCTTGGTCTGCTTCTTACCTCAATCAAACTGCAAATAATAATATTACTCACTCATTTGAAGCCCAATCGTTGGCACTATCTATATGAAACGCAAAGCATGTCGGGCCCAGACAAGTAAAGATACGAAAGGGTTAACACGAACGAAATGAAACTTGGAATTTAAACACTGAACCATAGCTCGGTCCGCTTCCTCGTATGATCGGCCAGCTTGAGTGGGGTCTTACTCTGAAACCAGCGCGGCGAAGTCGGCAACAACAAACAGACCACGAGATGTGTATTCGTAGCACTCCTGTTGAGCTTAACTTTCTGTTCCGATAAGGAAGGGCAGCGCGAACGAAGTTGAAATATGCAGTCTTAAATAACGAGCCACAGCTCGGTCCACAACTCACCTTAATCAAATAGCGAATAATGACTCTCCTCTGGGAAAAAAAAAGGAAATCTCATCCAAGCACTCTTATTAACTTGTCTATCGGAGATAATTAGGAATCCATTTTTTTTTTTTTTAAATATTCTGTAATTATTTCATTTTTAGAATCCTCATCTTTGCGGAATGCGTCCTATCTCTCAATTCACAAGTATGAAGTGGGAATTGTACAAAGAAACAATGCAAGCTTTGCACACAGACAGGTATAATAATGCTTGAATTTCTCAATGAAATTTTTAGGAGTCTTTATCGTGGCTTAGAATTTCTATCCTAATCTGTTGACCTGAAAAAATTGATTAACTGCTAATATTTTAAATTTGAATTGTGTTCACCACTTCCCAATGTTTTCCTCTTTGCCTGATTTTCAAATCTGTTCATCTTCTTTGGAAATCGAACCTGGGGGGTAATCAGGCCTGTGATCATTTTGTTGCTAAATTATTTAACAAAAAGATGACAAAATTTTTTTTTATTTTCCCCAGGTGATAGCGAAAGAAAGCTCTTCTCAACACAACACGTTTCTCATCGATGCGAAATGGTGTCAACTAAAAAACCAGACGATATTAGTGATTGCACATGTCAGAGGGTTTCAGGTGACAGTTAAATATTTACCTATTTGTTTCCAGAGTATTTCAATGAAAAGTTACTATAGTTTAAAAACAGAATGTACATATTTGTTGCAATCAGGTAATCAGAATATTGCCGGTAAGTTGACACCAATAATTATCGGTACTCCTGTATTATGTGTACCAGGTTAGGGTTAGGCTATAATTTTATTCCAATTTTTCTTATTTTAGTTCTATTATAAGTTCTGAACTGTGTGTGTCAGCCAAGTGAATATACCACCTGCCCATAGGTTTCAGTCCCTTTACACAACTTGATGTGAAGTAGGCGAATAAAATTAGTTCCATATTGGTACTTACACTTCTTGAATGATGCAATATTGAGTCTTCGTCGCGAAGGTATTCTTTGCCGTCTTCCTATTCTGGAGCGGGGTTCTTTGAGAGTAAGCACAAGTATAATCAAACGAGAGAGATTTCTATTCGAGAGAAAATGTCCATCATTGATTAATAAATTAGAAACCTTAAAATACAAAAATTGGTGCCTGGCGGTTGGCGCCTAAGAGACGAAAGCCACACCCTCTTCACAAACCCTTTTTGGACTTGAATTTCAAATCCTCTGAAATCGCCATTCTGTATTGCCCATCCCTACGTATTTCCCCCATTTTTCTTAGATTTTTCAAGTTTCACCCTTTCAAGTTAGATGAACCATGTTATCTGTCTTTCTAAAGAAAAATCAAAATAATTCCCAGAATTTTGTTGGACTCGCGATGATTAGATAGTAGCGTAACAATGGTGACCGTACATTTGAACCCATGTACATTTGAACCCATGCGTATATCCACGGGTTCAATCTATATGCGGGTGCTAAAACCCATGGGTTAGGGTTAGTATGGGTTTAACTATCCGTGAAACAAAAAAAATTCCATATGTGCAATAGCATACAGGTGCAATTGTCATGGGTTCAAATGTACGTGGGTTCAAATGTAATGGAACCGCGTAACAATAAGTACTAATAAGTCCATGTGTCTGAAACAAACAACTGGATAACCCATGCCCAACATGGACTTGCAACTGGGTGAAAAGCAGTGGTTTGTCATAATCACCTTTTAAAGGCCCATAATTACTGGTATGTTTCTGTATCTTAGTAATTTTTCTAATCTTTATCACTTCTTTTCACCCAGATGTTTGATGAGCTTGGCAATCTTCTCTTATTCTGGCATAGTACATTAGAAAGAGGAGTCCTGAGTGAGGGGAAGACTGCTTTCTGCAGGTGAGTAGTTTGAATTTAGATGTTGAATCAGGGTTGTGATGAAGGCGAGAAAAACTGATGAAGGGGATTTAATGGGGCGCTCTCGTAGTATTCGTACCAAGATGGCGCACAACCTGCCTCCCTTAACCTGTTACACATACTATGTTCAGGTTGTGCGCCATCCTGGTATTTCTTTTACAAGAACTCCCCTTTCTTCCTAATTTCACTCCATGATGAGATGATTTCACTGGCACTTTCCACCTTTTTGATCAACTCTACCAATCAAAATGACACTATAAAAACCACTTAAATGATAAACAAGGGGGCCATGAGTACTAAAAGTCCTCAGAAGGAGGCCGCGAGACATAAAAATTTGGCAAATACTGGTTTAAAGCAAAATACGCGAAAAAAATTATACATTTCTGTTTTAGGGGAATATCATCCCTAGGTGATACAGTATTCGTTGGGACTTGCAAAGGAGAGATACTCGTTGTTGAAACGATGGAAATGAATACATTCAATGTATCTCAGACTCTCAGTGCTCATCCTAGCCCTGTTACTACAATCACTACGTTGAAGGATGCACCTCCTCATGCTAAGGTAATGAATGTCAATCAAACAAATCATACTCCATTAGAGATGTATCGGTATCGGTCATTTTTTTTGTATCTGTATCAGCTTAAAAGAGACCGATATTTCTGATATATTTAGCTTTTTCATCGGTATCATCGACCAAAGTGGTATCGATACAACTTCATACAGAATTGAAGATAAGTTATATTCAGAAATAACTTTTTAAATTCATTTTATTGTACATTTTCCAATCTTTCAAAAAAAAAAGTGATATTTCATTTAACTCTGCATGCTGAATGTTAGGAATTAAATACGCTTTACATTGAACCTCAGGTTTTCCATAGGAGATCATTTTGTGTGATGGGTAAACCACTGGCATTTTACGGCTTCCTACCAGACATGCACTGAGATCAGACATCCCGTATTTGCTCGTTTTGTAGCCCGGGCCCATATTTTTTTAACCAAACTCACTAACCGGGCCCTGATTCAAACCGGCCCTTATTCAAGCACGGGCGCTTGTTATTTTTAACGTAAAATTATACACCAAAATTACAGTATCTTTAAAGACAAATATTTGACAACATTAATCCTTTTTCCATGTCAATTTATTCACGTCAAACGCAAATTATTCACGTCTTAAGAGTAATTCTCTCATATTACCTGTAGTTTATATTGTTTACAAGAAACAACAAATCAAAATTTTATTTTTATTTATTCAGCAACGCCCAGTTTGAGAACCACGGTGTTACGTAATCAATGCTATCTGTTGTGTACTTGGACCTCTAAGGCGTGAGTGTTATCTACCAGCGCTTAAAATTCAACAGCGTTGTGACAAAAGCACTTCTTATTTCCTATTGTTCTCTACCACTGAAAAATCAGCTTTTACATCGGGCGGGTATTCAAGCACCGGCCCTTATTTATTTTTATGTTCTGTTCACACGGGCGGCTATTCAAACGGGCCCTTATTATTCAAGATCGGGCGGTAAAACGAGCATATACGATACCCATCTTTTCTCTGCCCCAAAGACCACTAAATAAATTCTTCTCATTAATGTGAATGCGACCAGGGGCTCAACCAGGCTACACTCATGAATGGCATCAGCTGATAGCAAATGTGACTATGCTACCCTAACAGGTTCCAGATATTATTAGGTGCAAATGGGGGGGTTCCAACCTTCAACAACCCACCCTCACCCATAGGTACACCCATGAATATTGCATCAGCTGATGGCAAAGGTTGCTCTCCTCTAGGATAAATAGGTAAATTTTATCTTATGGACCTTTCCCCGAGCATCGACTTCCTTGTTTACCTCGTGACATTGGCCAATCAGCAAGATGTAAAAAGTGACGTAACAATACCCCCTTTTTGCATCCGCTCAGACACTTTTCTCACTCAGACAGATTTTCAAGCGTGGTTGTAAACATTACCTCGTTTCCGCGTTTTTGAACTCTATTCGTTAGTTTTCAGTTGTGTTTTGGAAACTTAAACAAAAATCAGATAATTCAATGATTACTCTGTCTCTCTAGGAGTTTTAATTTAATTGCAGTAATGAAAAATAGTGTAGAAATAGCTGTGATAGACTATCCTGGAATTCTTTACCGGTACTTTTAAAAAAACAGATTGTTGTATGCGATGAATCATAATGATGGTTTGAAACACATACCCCATTTTACAGGCGCTAACTCGCAAAAGCACTCCTAAAATAGCCCCAAAAATTTTGCAATGGTAAAGTATAGGAAGAATTTTCCGGGGTTCAAAGGTCGGGGAAAGGTCCATAATATCCCAGTCTCACAGGTTCCCATATATAATTAGGTTGTCTCATAGACTTCCATTCCCCCCTTCAATATTCCATACAGGGTTCTCAAATAAAACTTTTTTAGGTGAATGTGGCATCAGCAGATGACGAAGGTTCAATATCAGTTTGGAAAATGCGAGAAGAAGGAAAATTAAAGTTTGTTGGAAGCATTACTGGCTCAAGGTGAGATTTTGATACCATGTTTTTGTGATACTTCGGCCTTTTAACTCCAAACAGGCTCTGTAAAATAGTCCACTGATACATGGGTAGTTACTATGTATTGCAAACTTTGGAATCTTTCATGTTTAACATTGCCAGACAGGGGCATACCCAACCCCCTTTGAAATGTAAGAAAGCATTTTTCGGGGCTCCCGAAGTATGCGAACCAAGATGGCAGACATCGGAATGTAATATGTGTACTAGGTTAGGGTTAGGCCATAATTTTAGGTATAAATAATACGGGAGGCTCTTGGCTAGTCTTCGAACTGATAATAGAACTAATATAAGGAAAATTGGAAAAAAATTATTGCTTAACTCTAACCTGTTACCCATGTTACGTTCCGATGTCCGTCATCTTGGTTCGCATACTTCGGGAGCACCCATTTTTCTGTATTATACATAGATAGACTTACCATAATTTCTTGGGCATAATCCGGGACAAACTGAAAACTACGAATGAAATAACTGGACGAAAGGCTAAGGCCTGAGCTTGGCAAGTTTTTATTCCATATTTCTATTTATAAGCTTTGATATTGCATTACTCTACAGAATCTCAAGTTCTAGATTACTTTCACCATAATATGACTCAAACAAAACTAAATCAAAGTTATTATGCCTTCTCCAACTCCAAGCATACCTAGAATGGCTTTTAATGCAGCAATTGCTGTTGTTTCATCGAAGTCAGTAGAATAATGACGCAATAAACGTCACTCATTATTCCCTAACTAAAGGCTTTCTCAAGCTAAGCGCGATATTTTACTCAAACTAATAAGCTAAAAAAATTAAGATATTAAAGTAAGCCTCGAGTTAAAGCAAAGTTATGTCTTTTGGGACGGAATTATTTCATACTTTTGCATCAGGTTGGAGTTAATTTTGAAAATTTCACTAAAGTAAAATTCCGGGACATTTTGCTAACAGGGGGCGGGACACCGGGACAGAAGTTGGAACCGGGACTGTCCCGGCCAAACCGGGACGTATGGTAGATCTATACATAGCAATTTTTTTGTAGCTTGAAACAAGCTGTTACATTCTAACTTGGGAATGAGAAATCCCACTCCCACATTTTCCTAATTTCTTGCCTCCCTGTTCCTCCCCTGTTGCCAGGATATCCCTGCTTAACCACCTTTCTCAATCCAGTATTCTTGTCTTTTTCATAACTACTTTACTAAAATTCTGTCTTGTTTATACTTTCCATGCTCAGCAATGGTAATAGGTAAGAGTTTTTATCATCTGGTTTCATACGCGGATGCCACGGTATAAATTATCTGAACATGCACCGTCTTGTAATTCTTCATGAATCATCCTAGCAAAGCTATCCGTAGTGTGTGTACCAGGTTGGGGCCAGAACATAATATTATTGCAATTTTCTTCATTTTAGTTCTATCGCGAGCTCAGGGACTGTTGTAATAGAACTAAAATAAGGAAAATCAGTATAAGATTATGGAGGATAGGATTTACATATTTATCCCGAGGGGGAGGGGAGGGGGTAAGAAGGCTTATCCATATGGCGAACCACGGCCTCTCGTCCGGTTACCATTCCAAGTCGGGTATGGGATTAGTTAAATTGTTTGTTTTTTCAGAAGCATGGACTTGGTGGTTGAGGAAGCCGTAACCGACCATCGGTTACGTGAACCACCCAACGACGGCGAGGAGTCCAGCAATCCTCTCGCACATAACCATCCCTGCATGGGATTCGAACCTGCGAACCCACGCAGAGTAATTAGAGGTGCGGTGGCAAGCGTATTCCTAACGCTTAGCCCTTTGAGCCACACCTCGCTTAACTCTAACCTGGTATACACACTTCTATAGTACCCTCCCACTTGCCTAAGCAGTTGCAATGCATGGCTTGCAAATATATTTCCTGTGAATAAATCTAAATTTTTAATGCAATATTTTACGGAATGTAACATTCAATAGAAAAGCACATGTTCAGTTTTCATGGTTCCTACTGTTTTTGCTCAGGTACTAATGCTCTCCTGAAGTGTGTGTACCAATATGGAGGTAACTAATTTTGTTCACCTACTTCACATCAGGTTGTGTAAAGGGACTGAAACCTATGGGCAGGTGGATATTTACTTGGCTAAAACAAGCAGTCCCCGAACTTGTACTAGAACTAAAATAGGAAAATTGGAATCAAATTATGACCTAACCCTAACCTGGTACACATACTACGGGAGTACCCTATAACTTGCCTAAGCAGTCAGCATACCTTGCGTATATTTCCTGTGCTTAATTCTACTCCCATATCGGCTGTTCTAAGTTTTTTAATGATTAATATATTTTACAAAGTGTAACAGTAAATAAAAGTACATGTTCATTTTTCATGGTTTCGTCTGATTTTTTTTGTTTTTGCTCAGGTATCAATGTACAGTTCTCAATACTCCCGTAGTGTGTGTACCAGGTTAGGGTTACGCCAAAATTTTATTCCAATTTTCTTTATTTTAGTTTATTACGAGTTCGAAGGACTGCCTGTTTTACCCAAGTGAATATAGCCCCTGCATATAGGTTTCAGTCCCTTTACACAACTTGATGTAAAGTAGGCGAACAAACTCAGTTACCTCCATATTGGTACACATACTTCTGGAGTGCCAGTGAGAGTGTCCAGTGACCAAATTGCATCAAAGTTTACAATGTTTTTTGTCTGGTTTTTGTGTTTTTGCTCAGGTACTGATGTACAGTTCACTGCCCATTTATTGATAGTTTACCAGCTACTTCTTGGGTGCTCCCATAGTGGGTTAGGATTGATTATATTTTACTTATTTTAGTTCTATTACGATTTCGGGGACCGTCTGTGTTAGCCAAATGAATATAACCCATGTCCATACGTTTCAGTCCCTTCACACAACTTGACGTGAAGTAGGCAAACAAAATTAGTTACCTCCATATTGGTACACACACTTCTGGAGCGCCACTCTTTGTATATTATCACCATTAAAGGTCACCATTTCTGACTCTGCAAATAATACTTTTCATTTCATTGCCCAGGTACCCATGCACGGCTCTCTGCCTACTCAATGATGGTCTACTGGCTGCAAGTTATTATACCGGTCATATTCGTATCTTCGATGCACCCACACAAGAAATGTTAGCAGAGATAACAGCTCATGTTGCCCCCATCTCAAGTATGGATTGCTATAACGCAAGAGACCATTCCTTAGTAAGTAACCTGGAACTACGTGAGATACATGTTCCAATGTGTGTTTCGAATCAGAAGTCTAAAGTAAGTACCAGTACTTTCCCCCTACAGAAGGGGTGGGCAACATACGGCCCGACGAGATTGTGACCGTCCTGCTGACTGTATCCAACCACACTCTGTAATGTGGTCCGACGCATCATTCATGAAAGTTGCCGATCGCTCTACTCTCACCGCACTGTCAGTGCGAGCTGGTGAAATAAACAATTGCCTTAGTGAACAAACAATTGCGTTAGCACACTTGTTAAACAAATAATATAAGGTCAAAGCGGAGAGCGTTGTAAACATTCCCCACTACTGTTATCAGTTTCATTAGGAATCTAAATATAAAACGATTTTAGAAATTAGATTTTATATTAAGTTTTATTAACCATGGAATATCCCAAGAAACGTAGAGTTGACAGAGAGTGTCGAGCATTTAACAAAGATTGGATACCGAAGTATTTTTTGTGATAATCCGGCCCGCCGAGGGCTTCATTTTCCCACATCTGGCCCGCCGACTAGAGAAGTTGCCCACCCCTGCCCTACAGGGACGCGAGCCCAACTTTGGGAAGCCCTGATTTAGGAAGATTTTCTGCAGTTGTTGATTTTGGTCAAAACATTGGATGCAAAGATATTGAAATAGTTGATAGTTCGCTTTCGATCATCCCTTATTCGAGGATGGAAAGATTTTTCGCTGTTGCAGTAGCAGGCACCTTGCTGCATGCCGGTAACAACTTTTCGTATGAAGGAAAACATTGCTAAAATCAAGATTTTTTTCATAGTTTTTCCCATGTCCAAAGACCTTTGTGTTTTTTTTTTTTCAAAACATATTTTGAGAATATTGATAACTAGATTCAACCTTTTTTCAACCAAGTTAGGGTAAGGGCATAATTTTATTTCGATTTTCCTTATTTTAATTTTATTACGAGTTGGGGGACTGTCTGTGTTAGCCAAGTGAATTTACCTGCTCATAGTTCCCTACATATTGGAGTGCCAACGCCCGTGCTTCCAAGTATGTGGCTACATGAACCTATCTTCATCATTAAAATTCTGGTTTTCAGCTTCTCTCTGGCGGTGAAGACACTTATCTCAGGGTTTGGAAGATATCAAAGACAGATAAGTTAAAGGTTAGTTTTGTTTTTGTAACATAGAATGTTTTATTCATTTTTCGGTACTCCAGTAGTAAGTGAACCAAGATGGTGGACACCGGAAGTCCGGACGTAGTATGTGTACCAGATTAGGGTTAGAGCATAATTTTATTTCCTATTTTAGTTCCAGAAGAGTTCAGGGACTAGCCAAGTGGCTCCTGTAGTATTTGTGTCTGAAATTATGGCCTAACCTGGTACACGTACTATGTTCCGGTGTCCGCCATCTTGGTTCCCATACTACATGAGCACCCATTTTTCTGTAGAGGGTATTGGACCCTGTGGGTGCATAGACAGGGATTTTCAAGGGGGGCTCTGAAATTTCTAATCTCCAAGTTGTACTGTAACAGCTTTAGGAAACATGGGTTTCCAAAAGTCATTTGAGGGAGCCGACTCTTTTTTGGACAGTTACAAAATTAGCCAAGTCAGTATTTCAATAAGTAAACAAATAGCAGACGGAGCCCCTAGGTTTCAGAGCCTTTGTGCTACACCATTGCGCTACCAGAACTGTAATTCAAACTTTCGCTTTTAAGATCTCTCAAGAATGGTACACGTATGTCGAAGACCTGCTGATATGCGGAGTAAAATTCCATCCTGGGACAGATGAAATGTGTGCTGTTACAGGATACGATTCTAATGAAATAACCTTGTTCAAGAAAACATAATGAATGCTGACAAGGAAAGACACTTTGAATATTTTCTAAATTGGATCATGTCAAACAAAGAATAAGAAGTCAATGGATGTTTTCCCGATCATTGGCCCAAGAGAATTCTTCCTATATTTGACCATTGAAAAATTTTTGATGCTTATTTTGAGAATGTTTCTGCGATAAATAAGGAAATCGGTGCTTAGGGAAACATCTCTATATGTTCAATGATTTCGAATTCTAAACTGAAACAAAGTTGATATAGAAGGTAGTTTCATTGGATTTTTAATTTTTTCAAAGTTTTCCGAAACAAAAGGAGGCTTTCTTGTCCATATATTGAGATTTAATTGCTCAAACTGAGAATTTTTCATAGTTTTAGGTACCTATGCACAGTGATACTTTCTCAGTGGCACTCCGGTCGCTGAGTTAATTGAGCTAGAGTACGAGTCGTTTTATTTAGATGACTTCAAACACTAGTTTTTAATAATTGTGAGTCAAATCTTCCCAGCACTGCACTACATATTTCTATATTTATGTTTCATGAACTACTGTTTTCTTTACAATTTATTTCCTACATTTTCATTTCACCTATAAAGTTGAAATCCTGAATAGCAATGGTTCCCAAACCGCGGCCCACATAAAGATTTAATATTGCCCGGCGAACTTGAGTGAAATAGTTTAACACATTGTTTTTTTCTTTTGCGTTCTAGAGACTGCTAATTGTTACATCATTATCACAGTTTAAGCATGTGTATATTCATAACAATTCAATTACACCAGTATCCTAATTTTTGTACTGGTATCGGTATCCACTCTCCTGGTACACGAATATCTTTTCGCTTCCAGTTTTGGCCCCAGTCAATAACCTTAGGAACCATTGCTTTGAGGCGACCTAAAATTAAAACGGCTGAAATACTTTTCTATCAGTATTTGTTCTGAGTACTCTGGGCAAACCTTATGTTGCAATTGAATTTTTGTATTTTAATATTACACTTTTGACTTTATTTTTATACATTTATACATAGTGAGTATAGAATTTAAATTTATCCCAAAAGAGAGAAAAGTCCATAAGACGGTTTTAAAACTTGATTGCAATGATGTTTATGTGTAAAGGGACTCCTCAATGCGCTGATTTATTCATGTAACATGTTATTGGTTGCGGCTGACAAGGAAAGACACTTTGAATATTTTCTAAATAGGATCATGTCCTACAGCGAAATTCAAGTTATCCATGGGAAGGGGAAATGCGATAAGACAAATTACCGTAATCATCTGGTGAACCACGGCCTCTCGTCTGGTTACGAGTCCATGTTAGGTCTGGGATTAATTGAACAATCATTTGTTTTCGGATGCATGGACTTGATGATGGAGTATGTCAATTCAGCTGTATATTTGATAAATGTCCAAAACAAAAACAACCCATAAGCAGCACCAACTGAATTGTGCACAACACAAGAGAGCAAATGGCCACTTCACCTTCACAGCCGTCTCATCATTTTTGGAACACAAAGTCTAATGAAAGAATTTTTTCCATTAATTCACTTTTCTACTTCTTTTATGTGTTTGTTGTTGTATATCGTTATTGTGCTGTACGTTTTGTAGCAATATATATATTTGCGGTAGAAAATACCTTTTTTCTCGGAAATTGTGCAATATCGTAGCCAGAGGGTGGGCCATCAAGAATTCCTGCCAAAATGATTTCCAGCATATGAAAGGTGATTTTGGGGCATATGTAATGGGAAATAACTTCAATGTATGTATTTTTCAAACAGCATTTTGCCCTATTCGTGCGCGATTCACAGATAACCCGACGTTTTGTTGACTTGCTATCAATTCTTCCTTCAATTGAACCTACCGAGATAGATGAAATCGCGCGGTTTATGGTTTTAGTAACTTCGACAGCGGAGTAAGTCTGGGGAGGGCTGTGTACCTGGCTAGATTTCAGTCCCAGATTCCAGAGGTTCGCCATGTTTTCAGTTGTATTTTCAAAGAGTGGGAATTTCAAACTCTCGATAGTGATAATGGAAATAAAAAAATCTTTCAAAGCTGACTGAGCGTGCCCCGCAATCTATTTAAAGTGGGAGGCTTGTACTAGCCAAAGTTTATTTATTTTTTTTCAGCCCGGGTGTGGTGTGGTGTTAAATCCGCGACGCATAAAGGTGTAGGAACAAAGTTTTCTTTCCCGGTCGGAAAATTCCTGTGCTCAAGAGACAACATCCATACCTGTGGAATAAAAGTTGGATGGGGTTTTCAGAGTCTGTAGTCGCAACATGGATAGCGTCACCGCCATGGTTCCATGTGAAGTGCGCAGTACCACTATACCTATTCAGACTGATAGATAGATAGGTTCGGAGCCATGGTTATCCATATGATTAACTCATCATATCGGCTTTACTTTATTCACAATAAACATAAAAATCCTATACTGCTCTGAGACAAATAACTGGCTTTCGGATCTAGACCATCCTATCGGCATTTCTCTCTTCAAAATAAATATGAAATTCATTCCCTAAAAAACTTCAAAATTTGCGCATATTTATTCTTAACCGTTAGTTAGCGCGCTTGAGGTAACCACTGTTCTCCTAACCACAACGACCACCATCTTATCAACATTATTATTATTACATCGCAGAATTAATCAGAAACTTGAGTATTTTAATAAGAACACGATTCATTAAAAATTAATCATAATACACCGAGCGTGTGGACGATTCCTTATCTCGCTTCTCGTGTTGGGTCAGCCGGCACTTCAAGTATGCTTGACACGGTCTTCCCTGGCTAACGGCAGTAGAAAAAAACATTCTAGAAATTTTAATGGTGATGTATAAAATTTAGTCTTCGATTTTGTGTGGCCGTGTATAATGAACGTGGAATTAACACCCGGCCTATAGATAATCTTAATTAAAACTCTTGACACATAAATATATTTTCTTGAGTAGGAAAATATACCCGCTCATATACGTTCAAAATAACGGTAAAATGTTATCGTTTTTCGTGTTATATTTAGCATTATTTAAATTGTATTAGCATCAGAAAAACCTCTATATACTAATCCATGTTAATATATTAATTGATATAAGACGTTTAGGTGATGATATTATAAAAGTTAGTTAATTAGTTTTGTTTTTTGCAGCTTGTCTCACAATTTACTGTACAATTTGCGAAATTTTGCGTTTTTGAAGTTTATAGTAAAAAAGCACTTATACATATCAAAAATCGTGTTTTCGTCAGCTTTTCCCATTGCTTGTTTTCTTGGTCAAAATTGACTCGAATTAGGGGTTGAGGGCAAGGACAAAATCTTCATTTTATCCCCAAGGGGGGAAAAGGCGATAAGACGGCTTAATCATATGGCGAACCACGGCCCCTGTCTGGTCACTATTCCATGTCGGATATGGAATTAGTTAGCCAGTTATTTGTTCAGACGCGCGAATTTTAAGAAAGATGGCAAGGCCACACTTTTGACCCTTTCTTGTTGATATGTTCACTTCTGGGTTCCATGAGTTCAGGAGGTCTTAGACAGTATAAATAGTAGTATGGTCAGCAGAAGACAGAGATGAGATCTTGTATTGTGTAACAAATCAACGCTGTTTTTCTGGTGATCCAGAAGTGTTTATACCAATATGAGGGGAACTAATTTCGTTCGCCTACTTTACATCATGTTGTGTGAAGGGACGGAAACCTATGGATAGGGGGTATATTCACTTGGCTGACACAAACAGTCCCCGAAATAAATGAGGAATATCGGAATAAAATTATTGCCTGACCTTAACCTGGTATATATACCGAACCGTTTTTCTTATATCAAGACGTTAAAATACCTATGCTATTGGAGTTTTGGGCAGTTTACCATCGTAAACTTATTACTTTTTGTGAGTTTATCAGGTTGGAATGATATTAGGGGTTAAATATTTATTTGATTGTCATTTTGGCGTGTTTTTCATCCCGAAGTTCGCTGTTTTTGATATTTCACGTTCACACCTGCATATGACATTTGGTATATAGGGTTTCCATAAAGTTCTAAAAAATTTTAAATTGCAAAGGGAATTTATTGATACCATATATTGTTTGGGCCCTCACAGATGTATTAAATGAAGTAAACATACTTGAACAATTACTGATTAAAAAATTTAGGTAAGATATATTGGGAACTGATTTCATAACAAAATTGAAATTGTTAAGGGGCATTAGGTACATATGAAATTCTGTAAATCACATTAACATTTGGCTGGAATTCGACTAACATTGCCGTAGCCATTTGGCTTCGAGTCTATTGCATTGGCTTCGAATTGCATGATTGCAATTTCCTCTAAACGCCTAATAAAAGTCAACTCGGACCCTGATATTTCCGGCTTTCCGAATAATCCCCGGGAGCACCTCATATGAAATTCGGCCCATAAGACATTCGGTATTATTCATTCAACGTTTGACTATTTTTTTTTCAAATCCGATTTCCTCGAAACACTTTGTAAACGCTACGTTGACACTGACACTACCGTCGTTATAATCCAGTGTGAACAACAAAATTGTTAGTTAGTTTATAGTTCTCATACCAGGTGTAAATAATAATTGCAGGACAAGTAACACAAATTCACATGCAATTAGATAATAAATAATTGCACATTTATTTCCCTATTAGTGTCTGAAGTTGAGGCGAATTTTCAAAGACTCGTTGACGATTGAACATAAAATGTCTTTTAACTTTGTTAAATTCGCTATGATATTTAGTGGAGTCTCTTAAATCTGATTAGGAGTAATGAGTGAGAAGCCAAAAACATCGAGTGTTTAACGGTAAACAATGGGTAATTGCGCGAATCAATTAGGATTTTTGGTACTCCCGTGCGTGTGTGTGTGCCAGATGAGGCCTTAATTTATTCCGATTTTATATATTTTAGTTCTATTACGAGTTCGGGGTCTGTCCGTGTTAGCTAAGTGAATATCCCCCTGTCTATAAATTTCAGTCCCTTTACACAATTTGATGTAAAGTAGGCGAACAAAATTAGTTACCTCCATATTTGTACACATACTCCTAGAGCGCCGGATTTTGATTTATCTATCAAAATGATGTCTTGCGTAACTTTGCACAAGAGACCTCTGAGTAATTGCTGAGTACAATCGTACGAAACACTGAGATTTATATCGTTCTAACGATTACCAATTTAATACCGTAGAACCAAATTTTTTGAAAATGTATGAAATTGATGTATAGTGTATACCAATTAATTGTCGATGTGTACCAATATGGAGGTAACTGATTTTGTTCGCCTACTTTACATCAAGTTGTGTAAAGGAACCGAAATCTATGAGCAGAGGGTATAATCACTTGGCTAACACAGACAGTTTCCGAACTCGTAATAGAACTGAAAAAAAAATCGGAATAAAATTATGTCCTATCCCTAACCTGGTACACACACTACGGGAGTACCAGATATTTTTCCGCGTTTCAATGGAATATATAGTATAACTCAGTAATTAACAAAATCCTTCCAATGGAACAAACTCTATTGTTGTTCAATACTTGTTCAAACCATTAGTAATTTCGATGAAACATTCGAACAATCACCCGAAAATGCACTTAATTTTTTTTTGGTGGATTAAAAATGTCCGTGACTGACTCAATCAGTCACAGAATACGTCACATTTGTTGTGTTTCTGGGAAAAAATGACAAAATTATCAGGTCTTGTATCGTTGCCAGGTGTGCAATACATAGAAAGTGTGAGAAAAAATCCGCGGGAGGAAATTGAATTTGTCTTTTATATTCTCGGTACCGAGTTTATTATGTCCTCGCCGTTGAGAGTTTAGGTTTCGTTATAGGAAAGGTTTGGTCAGATCAGGTATCATAAATGTATATATACTTTGTATTTTGGAACATATTAAATTATTATTATTGAACATATTAAATGGTTTCAATTCTAGTGCCAACCCGCGTCTACATCACCTCAACTCCAAGTTTTAGTGGTATTTGAGAAATCGTAATATTCCTCAGAGATCCACCCCCTATGCCAGAGTGGTCCAAGATTGGCAGCTCCGCGGGCCACAAAATTACTTTTGCATTGTTCGCGGGCCACAATAGTGCCAAGAACTTTGCTCGTTTAATTCGCTAGCTGCCTCAGCAAGCCATAACACTAGTCAATTCAGTGACATTGGTGATGCAACAATTTGTCAAAAGATTTTTTGAGTAATTTTATGACGAAACAACACAAAATGCGATTTTTTGATTCCCCTCCAAGTGCGACGCGGGCCACAGATAATGTAGTGGCGGGCCACTTGTGGCCCGCGGGCCTGGGTTTGGACCACCCTGCCCTATGCCATTGACTAAAAGCGTGACTTTCCTTGATCAAAATTTTATATAACTTCAATTACTAGGGCGTTTGTTTTATTCCAGAGATTAAGAAAGTTGATGAGACGACCACCTGTATTTTGTCGGCCTCAGATAAATGATAAGAATCAGTGAGCGCTTGTACAGATTCTCGTTAAGAAAAAAGATATATATGAAAACGTCTAGTAGGCTACAGTGGTTCCCAAACTTTCAAATATCGTTTCCCCCAAATCAAATTGGCAGAGTTTCAATTACCCTTTATAATTTAGCAATCATAATTTGGGCTGTATATTTGATGATAAATGCTCTAACTTATATTTATGTAAAGTGTGAATATTATTTGCTCTGTACGAAATGCATGCATTGCGAAGTGCTTATGATATATAACAATAAAAAATGATAAGAATAAAAATTTCCAGTGCGTAAAGTCACAAAATCTAATACTATCGCCTATTGCACATTTTAATTCAATTTTAGAATTTTAAACTTGTGCTCGATTAGTCGATTAACATTTTAGCATACAATCTGTAAAGATAAGCACTGTTATTATGTCTCTGCTATCAGCGCGACTGACTGACTGACTAAATTTTGACGTAACAATGCTCATTGACGAGGCAGTTTATCCGCAGATCAGCGAAAGGGACGAATTGTCAATACAGCGAATGCCTTAATTACCCTCTAAAACTTTCGATTACCCCCAGTTGGGAACCACTGGTCTAGTAGAAGAAAAAACGTAAGGAAATATGGATATTTGCTAAGTCAGTATCGTAACATTATGGTTGTTAGCAAGAACTGGGTAGAATAGGATTTTTATGTTTCTTCCAGAGAAAAGAAAGTCGATAAAGCAGCCCAATCATATAGAAAACCACGGCCCGTAGTTTGGTTACCAGTCTATGTCGGATTATGAATAACTGTTGTTCGTTTTAGATTTCGGAGGGAGCCGCTATCCAACAGCAGTTACATGTTAAAATATTACAGCTTCTTTTTTTCATAGACGTAAATTATGGTACTTTGAGCCCGAAACTATATAATGGTGCATTATTTGGTTTATACTACGCATTTAAATACGTTTAATGTGATTTAATTTCCTCGGTAATTACTGGGAATGTCACATCCGCTAGAGGACGCAAAGTGACAATATAATACCCGCCTACTTGTCGCGCTTCATAGAGAAACAAAGGAAGATAATGAGCGGTTGAGAGAGACCCGACGAAGGTGGATGAGTCGTTAACTTACTTCGTTCTACGGGACACCTTGGGATACTGTGCTTCGTTTGGTTCTTGTTTTATTTGAGTTTTAATTTTATGAAGTGGACAGTTAGTTTTGTTTGACATTTCAGAAGCAGGAATTTTTATGATAAAGAGTGTTGCCAAATATTCTAGAATAATGGTTCGCCCATTTTGCAAAACGCGAGGTAATAACGTAATTAAAAATCGTGTTTTTAGTCACTGTAAATGGCAATATTTAATAATATTTATAGTAAATTTATTTTTTATTTTATCTACACAAATTTCAATATTTTCCTGCTATAAACTTAAATAAACCTTATTTTATATTTTCTAATGACGTAAATTAATTTATATTGTGGCGCCATAAAAGATAGGTTCTGGCCCAGTGATCACTGCCTGTTACCTAGTTTGTTATGCGAAGTAATATGTACTGAACATATTGGATTTAAAATTTATAATTAAAGCAAGGATATACCTCACTTGCGATATATTTCAAGCAAAGGGATTTACTTATCAAGCCGACATCGAGTCGAAAATATGGACACGACTCGAATTTTGGCGACATTGGCGACAGCGATGTGTTTTCTCCAGGTAAGATTATCATATTTTCCCGCTGCGTTACGGTAGCGGTGCCGGTTCGATATAATTTCGTTACCTATTCTCATTCGAAAAGACTTTTGAATTTAGGAATCTACACTCATTATACATCACTATAAACTTTCATAACGTGACTTTCGGCTTATATGAACGCCATTTTACGCGTCCAAGTATCGTTTGCTAAGGATACTAAACGTTAGTGTGGCATTTTAGTACAACATCTCCATATGTGTTTCGATTGTGAATATAACATAACAATAATGTTCAAATTTTCCCGGTTTGGCTGATTTAGTTAGGCTAATTCTGTATAAATTTCTATCCGAATTCCATGCGACAGTTTGGCACTAGTTTACTGGTTAGTTAGACTACTATTAAAACTTATGTTCAAATTAGAACTCTGTCGTTACTAACGGCCTCGCTCTAACTATATGGTGGATGAACCGGCATACATTTGTTAGAAATAGGGATGAATATAAGGACCCAATCGCTATCAGAATGACCTCTGTTGCAGTAGACTATTACACTTTAGTTAAACTAAGATTTTTTGTTAGATAACGGGTAACTAACGCGGCATCATACTGCAATAGACCCGGTCTAAATGAGACTAAACAACCAATCTTTCATAACCTATACAGACTATTTATTGAAAATAAATTAAGGGAGTTGCGTTGTTAATCTGATAGTATTTTTTAAAGTCTTGTAACGTTAGTGAGTGAATTCACAACTCGACCGGCAAAATATAAAGTCGATGCGGTAAAAATATTACGTTTACAAATTGCGACGTTTTTGAACTTTTTGGGAATTATAGGATTTTTATTGCAATATTTTGGGGGTCGTAAAACTGATGCTATATCGATATTTTTTATGTTACTTTTGGGCAGAAACTTGTTTACTTTGTGATAAGTAAGTGTATCCAAATTCATTTTTTTTCGCTTTTATACGCTTCGATCTCAGACTAAAATGGGTTACTCTGTCGAAGGTCCCCGGCGTGCGTGGGTTGTTTTCCGGGCACCAGAAATAACCAAACATGCTGTTCAACTGTGCTGACTTTTTGTGCTGACTTTTATGACCAAAATTTAAAAATTAAATAATACCGTGGTATCAATACTGCGGGTATGTTTATCATGTTAATCGTTCATAGCTATCGCGGTGACCGTGTGGAAACTTGAAAGCGTTCATACATCTCGAATAAATAACTAACAATCCTGTAACCGGATGAGAATACATGGTTCGCCATGTGATTGAGCCGTCGAATCGGCTTTCACCTTCCATCGAATAAATATGACAATCCTATCCTAAACGTCGCCAGGTAAATAAAGCATATTCTAATAAATACCGTTAAGCGAATTCAGCACTTTGGCGCCGTATATATGCAACCTATTAGACAAGTGTCAAGTCCTCACAAGTGCATTATAATAATACTTGTACTACATGCAATTCTCATAAAAATCAAATCTTCAGACTGAGAGGTGCTTGAGATATACAGTATCGTTGTGATGCACGAAACATGACGTTTTAGCAGTCATAGACCCACATGTACTGCTAGAGTTTTGTTTGTAGATAATTCTGATGGACGCTGAATTTTTATCTAGAAAGTGCGGCGTAATTTAGGTATATTACAAGTGAATGGCCCTTCATTTAAGATATTTTTTGGGTATAATTCATTTTTGGGAGATGGCGTTACCTCTCACTGAGTTTAGGAAGCAATGCTTTTTGAAGAAAAAAAAATCAACCTTAATACCAAAAATCTTTCCAGAGCATCGGCTTTCAAGACTGATTCGAGCTTTTATGAATAATACAAGTAAATACATTAGGTATATTTTTGATTCGGTTTTTCCAAAAAAATTCTTGTTAAAACTTTCATTCTGAGAACATCAACCTATACTATGTCAGCTTTCTAATCCCTCTTCAATCCTAGTAGAATTTTATTGTCGACTATAAACGTACATTTGTGATTATTTACCATAAAGTTACACCATTTACGTATTGCCTTGTCGGCGCCTTTGCAGTAGGCCAACAAGCCTGAAATTAAATTTACACACACCAAAGGCGGACCCTAGCGATTCAAATCGGAATGTTTTCATAACCTGCGCTTCCGCAGGGAAGGTTTTGATTTATTAATATATCATAATCATTCATTGTGGTATTGCAACATATCACAGTGTAAATAGGCTGGCTTACAGAAGTCCTTTCAAGTTTATATAAATCTGCATGAAGTTGGCTAAGGCGAACTCAATGCATAGTCCACCTAGTAAATATGCTCGGAATATGCTTGGGCTGGGGTATTATCACCTTTATCGCAGTTTTTAAAAGCAGAATCGGTACGTCGTCACGTCGCATCGGTCTTCGCTCTACCCCATGACCTAGGTATTTGATTATTACATTCGTACCTACCAGAGGGGATTTTTGACGCCCCTCGGGAACGGCTCCACGTAATGTAAGTGCGCCCAACTTGAATAACATTTGTAATACTTACATTTTTCACCCCAAAAAGGTAGATTCTCCAAGAAAAATGTGTTATTTATAATACCTTCCTTCAGTGTCCCAAATTGAAGTTATTTTTTTCAAATTTCTGTCCGTTTTTGCTGCATCGAATTCGGTAGTGAACATTCTCGTTTTGCTTTGCTAGACGTCGGCAGTCTTTTATCTTAACGTGGATATGATGGCAGCAGAAATACCCAATCGCTCGCGCACGGCAACGGCGTGTCTGTCGGTCGTCTTCCAAATCAATTTGATAAAGACATTTATGACTAATCATTCGTATATATATGAATGTATGATATAAATTAACAGAATACACTTACTCGACGGCAAGCAAGTTTTATGAGCCAGTAGTGTGCGATATTTTATTTACTGAAATTATTAATTATCAAATTTAAGTTGTCTCGATATGCCAATATAAATATTTTTATTTGAGGATAATAACATACCTCAAAATAACCAGAATATAACATTATGAATCAAAACTTTAAAGTCTATTTATGATTCATGTAAATTTCAGAGGTGTAACATTTGGTGCGCTTTTGCGACGGTCCCTCTTTTTTTCTATTGTAAACTGTTTTTTCCACCTTGGGTAACATTGAGGGATCTTGCATTGAGCAAACGTGCATATTTGAAAGTAAATTCGGAGAGTCGAATGCGTAATGTAACTGCTGTTGTCTTACGTTTCTTTAATAAATGAATATCAAGTATGGTCACAGTTTACGTAAACAAAGACTAATAATCGCCGGAAATTTAGATGACATTATAGAGCGTTATTTCATTTGTAAATATAAAAGGTCTAATATTGATGAAAATTAGTGTGTCGTTAATGTAACGTGCTCGGTGCTGCATTCAGGTTTGAAATGCATCGACCATCCCTAAATTTGGAATCCTCCCTCCTAAAATGAAAAGCTGGTGAACATACTGCTTCTGAGTTAGAGTGTAAGACCCTGCTCTGAGCTAATTCTATGGAAATATAAATAAGTCTTGAATACCAAATTGTTTGCATATGGAAATCCAAATATAGCCATCACGAAGAATTACAACAAGTCGCTTTAGTATACAAAACCGCCAGCGACTTTTTTCCCGCGCGATTTTCTCATTCCCAGACTCTAAATCCGTCTTAAGACAAGGTCACATTGTAGATACTCCTACGGTCATCCCCTACGCGAGTTCAAAACTAACTTACCAACTAAAAATGCAAGCCTTTGTCAAACCATGATACCCGCTACAAAATTACTATAATTCTTCTTAAAATAGTTCCCCTATACCGGCGCTCGCAGTGGGAGGCCTTGCCCGTGTGTCTGCAGGTGGTCCTTCTGGCGCGTATTCAACATAACTTAAACACCTATGCATCTATATGCAGACTTGCATAAATACATTCCAAATTCTTTCTATATGTGGCATTAATACAAATAGATACTCTAGTCATATTTTAGATTCGACTCGCCTCTTCGTGCCAATGTAAATGAACTTAAATAACTTGTTACATATCTCATGCGGTACTGTGAAACACGCGGTAAAAACAGCAACATTTTTGCGTAAATCTGCTACTTGTAACATCGACGCGGGCTTAAATAGAGAGTAGCGTGTACCAGGTCTATTCACAGTAAAGCGTGTACTACTGATAATAAGCCAGCTATGCATCGGAAAAAATAAACAGGTTATTTCCATGCACAAGGAGTGATGGTTCCTCATGTGGGTAAGCCGTCTTTTTAGCCTCCTCTCCCTTGAGATAAATATGGAAATCTTATTCATACTCAAACTATATCGTCTGATTCTCAACAGCTGTCTGTACTTTATTGTTGATTTGGGATGTTACATTTCTTGCCATCGTCAAGCTTATTTTTGGGAAAATATCGTTTTAACGCTCCTTATTAGGACACATATTAACTATTATAATCAACTGAGCTAATTGCCTTTGATCGCACCATCAAATGAGCCAAATAACTCACAGATGATAATGTGGGATTGGGATTTTGCTGAACAGAATTCTAAAATGATTTTTTCACCAAGTTGCTTAAACTCGATAATTTGAAATGTTTTCCAAGTAAAATAGGTGATCATAACGAATATTTCATAGCTGAGTTTCTTATGTGTTTATATGTACAAGAAGTCTATTTCTACAATTCCTGTCCAATACACTAAATAGACATCAAAATACAAGTTATTTTACAATTTTTTCCAGTCTTACCGGCCCGTTTGATGAAGCATATTCGTGGCAATGCAAACATTGCATAGAGCAATTACATGATGTTGGTACATGGTCGCACACGACCCACGCGTTATATTGACATTTGCAAATGCTATAAATTCTTTTTACGTCTATCGATATGGGGACGGCGTTTCTGGCGTGGAAAGACGTCAACGTTTATTCGTTTTAAATTCTTTAAATTAATAGAGTCATCGCGAATATAGTATCTTGTGAATATCTTCGGCCGTGGCACGGGCGTAGCCAAAATAGGGGGGGCTAAGAGGCGTTTGAAGCTGCGAAAATTTTCATGTATGATATA